AAACCAATATGCATACAAGAGATCTCAACGCGGGGATGCGATGCATTAAGTACCTTCTATTTTTTTTTAATCTACTTTTTGTGGTAAGTTTACTATCAGCGCATTTATAAATGTTTTGTGATGTCATACTATAGGCAATGCATAGGTACAATCATATAAATAATATAGTTAAAGGTGTGGAAAGGCCTAACAGGTATAATTTCATGCCAATTTAAACGAACATTTAATTATACTATCCTGTGTCGATATTTACTCACATTTTACACTTTGTACTGCCTTACACAGCAGAATATAATATAATTAAATGTTCCATGCCATGTTTTATGTACAAAATTTAAGTGTATAAAAGACAATGAATTGAACTCATAGTATCAGAGTAGGAGAATACTGAATGACAAAGCAACGGGTAAAATTTATAACTATTTCTGATATATTCTGCATACTTAATAAAGCCATGAACAATAATGTTACAAAACTTGTTCTTTAACAACAGTAAATGTGGTTGTAATTACTCATTTCTTTGGTGAACTAAAGGAGAAACTGGGAGAGAGAGAGAAGTACTACACATGCTCAAGTACTCAGTACCAATAAAATGTTACAAAGATACTGAAAACTGCAAGTGACAGTAAATGTAGAATGTGCTAGCAGTTTGATGAGAGGGCAGAACACTTAACAATGTGACATCCAGTTCAAGCTAAGGAAGATATGATTGGTAGCACACACTACAATGAAGGTGTATAACTGACTCTGAGGTAAACCTCATGAACATATACCAAAGTCAGTGGAAACAAGTCTAGATAATCAGTTACTATATTACAGAACAAACTAATTATGACAGAATCATAACATGCAAGAAACTTAACATCAAACATAGGAAAGAAACATGTTTACTAATTGAGGTTTCAACTGATACAAGACATTGCAACACATAGTTGCAAGACTTGAGGCAGTCTATTCCTGCTAAATGAAGGTACCCATGTACAGAAACCACAGCAACACAACCCAGAAGACCACCAAAGAGAACTATACTGATAAAGTAGTAAATATTCTGGTAAATAAGTTGTACCATTTTCACTGTGTAAAGTCGGATTTGATGAAGAAAGACTCCATACATCTTATTTTCAAGATACCACAGAACCAACCTTGTACCTAAGACTATATGAAAAAGATGAAGGGTAATATAAGAGGTTACTTTTGAGGGAAAATTTGTACTGAATACTGACAAATATGGTGAATGTTCACAGATAACTGGAATATTAATAATTGGTGTTGGAACCACCATCCAAGCCATCTACAACAATTTTGATATATTCCTAGAAGGCAGGTTTTACTCTCCAACAACACTGCTCATTGTCATAGGATTCATTGTGTTTGTAGTGGCATTCTTTGGATGTTGCGGAGCTGTTCGAGAGAGCACCTGCATGGTTATGACAGTAAGTTCATCATATCATAAAAATATAAAAGATCCATTTTAATATTACCCCTCCATCTGTGTCTATGTCATCTAACTGGTCTCTTCCCTTCAGGCTTTCCAGCTAGTATTTTGTACACATTATTCATCTCCCCCATATGCATAGTTGCCCATCTCAGGTTTCTTGATTTGATCATCCTACTAATATGATGCATGATGTTATTTCTTTGAGATTAAATAGTCATTTCTTGTTATTACATTTTATGTAATGTGTCTTTCTGTCAGTTTGCAGTGTTGCTTGCAATAGTATTTCTGCTTGAACTGTCTGCTGGACTTGCTGGCTATGTACTGCAGGATGGATTGAAAGAGTATCTTGTGCACAAAGTGAACATTTCAATGGAACAATATAGCACTGATCCTGAAATTGCCGAGACTATTGACTTCATGCAGGAAAGGGTATGTTATACAAATACACAAGAAAAAACTTGTCTTGTGTAATCTATGCTGACCAGTTTGGTGAAATTTCTGAAATACAGCCATACTAACAGAGATTTTGTCACTTAAATAAAATTACCTTTGCACTTTTTTAAGTTAATAAATAAATGGTATTGCAAATTACTCATTAATAAATTACATTGTATATTAACATTTAGGAATGCAACAGCAATTTTTAACAATGGCTCTCTGGAAAAACTTTTTCAACTTTCACATTATCATGTTTAGCACATCTTTCCAGGAATGCAAAAGCAAGATAAATTCAAAAACAGGTTTTTGTAGAAAGTAAAAGGTCACACAGAATAAAAACATAATGAAACAAAACTGGTGTATCATACAAGGTAATTAAAAAATCAAGAGTACTATAATTTATAATTCATGGAGATGGCTGGCTATCTTCTGGGCTCTTGGACTATGTAGTCTGGAAGAAGTTTATTGATGTTTCAGAGGTGCTGCTACAACAACCCAGAAGACAGCCATCTTAAATGTCAATATTCACTTGAACTTATCATATACTAGCTCCAGCTGATATGCATTATGCTAACAAGAAAAAAGTTTAGATAATCAGAATACAACCCTATTTTGATCTTATTACCATATAATTCTACAGTTGTATCTACCTATGCCATCTGGGACACCATTTCACCAAAAACAGCAAACATTTTATCTTTGGTTGTTTTATACACAAGAATCCAGAGACTTCAATGTTCAGTACTATCTACACAAGTGGTTCTCAAACCGGTGTACTGCAGATGCTTTCCAGGGGTACCATAAATCCTCATTCATATACATACTGTCGACATTAATTAAACACAAACTTTGAGCAATCCTGTGTCACAAACCATTTTAAAACGAATTCATATACTTTCTGCACTTAAAATTAATATAACCAAGATGTACTACTTTCTTTTCCATCAGCAATAGGTTGTGTATTTTCAAGTTTCTTTTGTATGTGTTACCAGACCTTTCTTAGACTTCATCAGGGATACCAAGCACAAGAACTTTAAAAAACCCTGACCAAAGACTATATGCTATAATGCACATACCCTGAGTTGGAAGTGTCTGTAAACTAGGATAATGGAAATCTGGGACACTGTGAGCTAATGGCATGAGGCAAAACAATTGAAAAGTTCAGTTGTTTTCCCAACAATTCAAAATACAGTACCTTCACAGCTTTCCAAGGCTTAAAATGTATAATACCACCCTAGCAACACAAGCCATTGCCACAAAGATTTGTAAGTTTTACTGATAGAAATTAAATCTTGTCAAAAGAGTTCCAAATTCAAATAGAACAGCCTTTTATCATTCAATTTCAAAGTACCCACAGTTCTAGTATTGTCCTAGATATCAGTAGTATTCAGAAAACAACTTGCACTCCATGGCCACCAACTACACCCTCACTACTCTACTTGCTGTCACATACAATTATTACCCATGCAGTACCTCAAGAAATCATGTATTTGACACAGAAAATGTGATTTCACATAATCTCATCAAAACACGCAACAAACATAGAGAGAGATCTTTCTTAGTCTTTAGCTTACAATGAATTGTCTGACATGCCTTGGTGCTAAACTTTAAAAATACTCTGGAATATCTATTCACATCATGGACACAAAATGCTTCAGAAACCCTAAAAACAAAAACAGCTTTGATTTTTAAACATCCAGCAACAAACAAAACTGAAGTATCTCATTTCACACCTGTTTTTAACATGTAAATACAAATACTCCTTACAAGAAGCATTTTCTCATTCTGAATTCCATAAAAACTACACCTGGAAATGCTGAAAGTGGGGCAATTAACAACTAAAAGTTGCAAAAATACCTATAAGATTTGTCATGTCTATCTTTTATCTTGCTATAACCAACTTACAAATAAACGATTCAAATTGTTTCTTAAATCATTATTCGGGGACAAATAAAATATTAAGTATGTAGGGTTTGTGTCACTATAACTTAGCCTACTTTCAGGTCCCCCAGAAGAATACGCCAAATCTCAGCACAAAAACAAATATTTCTGTCCATAACAGCCTTCTGAGTGCTTGTGATTTTTAAGTCACAAATCCAATGGTACAGAGTCAGTGACATTATTCTGAACTAATTTCATCTATCCCCCACCATCACAACCTATTTTCCAAAGACCCACCTTAATGTTCTCCAATCCTCTTATCAGTCTTCTAAGTTGTCATTTTCCAAGAAGTTTCTCAAACATTCTGTCCTAGCTACACATCCAAAACACTGAAGCCTCCTAGATTATACATTACTATAACACCTCCAGGTGACTTACACAACCCATGTAAGTGCCTTCTAATGCAACATCACAGACTGATCACTCCTTTCTTAAATTCAAATATATTCCTGAACACATTGTTTTAAAACACATGTATTTTATAAGCATCCGTCAAAGAGGCCATGTTACATACCCATACAAAAGAAAAGCAAAATTGCTTTATTAAATTGTGAAGTCTCATTGAAAGGTACTATCTAATAATTTTATCAGAGGGATAACTAGCCTACAGGCCAAAAATCAAACCTGGAACCTTCTAAGAACAACTTCTTAACCACAACATTTGGTAACAGGATATCTACCATTGGCTGCTTGTACATAAAACCTTGTATTTTAACAGCTACTATGTTGTGGACTGGAAAGTTACAATGACTGGGAAGGAAAATTGGACAATATGACATACGGCACAACACAAATTAATGAAAACACCACTGTGCCAAACTCCTGCTGCCTGGAAACATGTGACTTTATATCTGGCAACGGCTGCATAAATCGACTGGAGTACGTTGTGGGTCAAAGTGCTGTCCTGCTAACAAGTGCAGCCCTTTCCTTAGCACTATTGCAGGTATGTTGAAGTAGTAACGTGGCATATTCCATTCTGAGAAAACAATGTTAAGTTCACCACCAAGTGTTTAACTTGTAGTCAAGAGAGCATTTACAATTTATATGTTGGTAGTCAGTTATAATTTGCAAATATCATTTATGTTGGTACTCATCTGTTATTTAAGACCAAGCCACTATTTTATAATTTCTATGTCAGTATCAAGCTACAATTCAAGCCAAAGCCTCATAATTAATTCAACATTTATTACATAATTCAATACTCAAATTTGTATTAATCAAATAAAAAACATATTTATCTAAGAACCCTAAAGAAACAAGACAAAAATGTCTGTCAGTCATTCTCTCTTTAATCACAATTATTAATATACCCTTTGAAGCAAATAATCTTTATTTTCCATATAATTTAATGGACTTGTATATGACATTCATATTCCATGCAACCTGATTTCAGTAATGTCTTGTGTATCAGTTTTATTTTAATTTTTATCATAACATGAATATTATACATAAACAATGAAGAAGAAATGCAAACTAAATAGTATAGTGTACTGTTAACATTATAGAGGCTGTTGAAAATAGTTCCAATGGACACTGAGACAGGTATCCCATTGATACATTAGACAATGCATCCCCTTGACGAACAATTTCTTGAGCTGCTGTTGGAATCACTGAAGTCTTAATGCCTCTTTGTCTAACATGCAGCTTCAGCCATTAGGAGTTTCTTGAAGCAGCTAAACACATGGAAGTCAAATGCAGACAGGTCAAGGCTATATCAGAGATGGTCCAGCATAACATTTTCACATTAACACAGCATTTTCGGGCGTTGTGCTCGAAGATGGTCGTCCAGAACGCTCGTCATCATCGACAGAGGTTCGGCCATTTTTAAAACGTGAATGCCACACAAAAGTTTGTTCACGACCCATTGCGGACTCCCCAAATGCTTGCTTTAGCATTTCATAGGTTTCCGTAGCCGTTTTGTCGAGTCTTTGGCAAAATTTGATGCACACTCTTTGTTCATGAAAATCCGCCATTCCGAAATCGCAGGAGGGTCGGTGTAATGCACTACCAAAACGCCCGTAACTATGAAACAAATACTAATTCGATGATGCCGGCTGGCACACTGATTCACTATGAATGTAGGCCGCACCCCCTAGCGGCAGAAGCTCGTACTACATCCGGTTCGCCCTCTATTGACACAGTCTGTAAACTTTCCGATCGCACCTCGTATGGACCATAACAGGAGAGAGTTGTTCTGCAACATTATGATACCCCTCGTAAGCATATCAGAATGCTATCTCTGACTGCAGTAATAAGGTCTCACAGAGTGATGTCACAGTCCTCGTACACCAGCATCAGTTGGGGGGGGGGGTTTCCATCAGCTGACAGATCAATGGTTTGCCTGCCGCAGTGCCCACTGGGACTAGTTTTAATGGCCTCTGTGCCTTTTGCCTAGAATTATCTCTCGAGTTTCATTTGAACAAGCCTGATACACATATGCACATTCCTTCCAGATCAATGTTGTAATAACTATCAAAAGAATAATAATTTATGTTTTGTGTAAAAAGACCAACTGATACATATTTCTAGAGGGAGACAGCAACAGAAAATATAAATAAGGGAGAGTAATGAAGGCGAGATGTCTATTTTCAGATGGATTTCTACCTATATGTAATTAACTGACAGTGAGCTAATTAATGACCAACAATAACTTTATTCTGATTTCAGCTACTCGGTGTGATGTTTGCTTGTTCCCTGGGTCGATCCATTAGGCATCAAAAAACAGAACGTGAACGTCGACGATGGGAGATGAGAGAGAATCTGCTTAGAAAAGATACATTCTACACTGACCGGAAGCATTCAACATCTGCATAATGAAGTAATAAAAATGCTAAATCATGAAGTATATTGATAGTATATCAGGATATCCTATATCAATCACCATAAATAATATAGCATTCATTTTAAAACAATGTTAAGAATGGAACACGACATAATTTAATATTATTAGTAATGCAGTGTCAACTTATAAGTGGTTCCTACATCCATAAAACGTTTCCTTAAAAAATCAGAACCCCCGTCAAAAAATTATAGTATGTTTTCTACAAATGATTCCTTTATATGATTCTTATATGCAAAATCGGCAATCACTGGTAAATTAAAATCTACAGGCCTTTATGGTCCTTTTAGGTAACCAGAGATGATGTCTGTATATATTCCACTTCCTTAATGGTTGGAAAGTGCTTACATAATAGACAAATTATTCTTGTGCATCCTGTGAGATACAAATTTAATCTGTGAAGACACTTTAAAAACTAAGAAATGAAGCACGAAGCCTTAGGGAACACTACTAAGCAAATCAGTGAGCATTCAAATGCAAAGGAAACTGTATGGGAAACATTAAATAACTATTTTAAGATGCCCATTAAACAGAGTAATGTAGGTTCTTAAAATAAATTACAAACTACTACCCAACAGAAAGAACACTACTTCGACTGCCACTTAATAGGCTAAACTTCTGAAAATAACACAAGTCACATAAAACAGCCTATCTTTGTGACAAATTTCAGATGGACATTTCTTATCATCGACAAGATCCCTTTCAGATACTGAATAAACAGCCAATGGAGAAGGAATAAGGTGAAAAAATCAAACATGACCTGCATACTAAAGTGCAATGAGTTTCCTGTGAGTATGCACTAAGGTGGAAGAGTCAAATGCTGTTCCATAACACTGAAGTTCAGTTCATAGCTGTGCTATCTACAAAACTCACTGCACTTGTCTACCCAAGTCTTCTGTATAATTTCTATGAAATCTAGCCTCATACACATAAGGCATGCAAGACACAACTTGCCAATCATAATTGATGAAATGACGAAGACAACCTCTATGTCAGATTAAATTGTGGATACCTCTTTGGCCTTTTATTATGCACAAGAGTCAAATTTGTTAGTAGGTCAGAATGTTTTATACCAGGTGTGACCTCATTGCCAGCCTGCCTGCCTTCCCATGGTGAAAAAACTAATTTCAAAAACAAGAAACTACAAACATATTCACAAATGCAAAGGTATTGAGAATTTTATGGCAAAGGAGCAGTGCCAACATTTTCCTTCTTGTCTTTATAGTAATGCAAATGTATCTTGTTAAATAAAAACTTTGCATAAAAATGTATTCAATTAAATATATTGTTAACACTGAGTTAAACAATTACTTCACCACAGTATTCCTTTATTTGAATTGTTTCAAAGCTCATAATGTAACCTTACGCTGTTAGAAATTAAAGTTTTTGAGTTCCATTATTTGCGTTATATTGTATTTTATTACATTAGTATCATATTCCCACTCAAATGAGCTCCAGGTTATCAACAATAAAGGTCAATTTGTTATTAAACTGCTTAATGATATATTTCAAATATCAACCTGTTGAAACACAAAGACAATAGCTTATTAGTACTTTCCTTTCTAGAGTAGGCTAAATCAAAATTGGGAATATGAAAAATTTTCTGCAGTTTTTTAAAAATGTCATGCTATATGCCTAACATTTTATGAAACAGGCACATAAATACTGATATTAAGTTAAACCTATTGCAATGCCATACAATGCATAAGAAGCTATTAGCTCAAGCATAAGACTTCACAATATTAGATGGAAGCTAGTTTCTTACCTGGCTTTTCAATACTTATTTTATTGAATAACACTGTTAAACTTTAAACTTATTTTCATAATTAAAATTCTTTCTGGCTACTTTCATAGACCATCATCTAGAATAAGGCAGAACAGGATATAATAGGATAGGGTACAATTTATTTACATATAAATCCTTCACAGTACTAAGTCAAAGATGTCGAACGTATCATAATACAAATACAATAATTATACCAACATAAATACACTATTTACAGACATCTTGTACAAACATTTTGTCCAAAATAAATACTTACGTCAAGAAAACATTTTATTCATAAATATTTTCAGTAATTTTAAGAATTATCAACAAAGTAAATTTTTCTACAGTGTAAAATTATAATTAGAATCAAAATTTATTTACATTCCATACATTCTTTGCACAACTAAGCCAAAAATGTAGGGCATATCACATATGGCTCAGGTGAAGGGAATCCCCCCTGTTCATGTTATTCAGATGTAGCTTGATCTCAATGGCCTCCCTGATCATCTGGTCCATGTATCCAGACTTGGTGGAGAGAATGGCGGTGTTGTGGAATTGCATATGGTGACCCACGTTAAAGATGTGTTTAACTACAGCTGATCTGTCTGGATGCTCTGGATAGATGAGGCATTGGAACACCTTGACCTTGAACTCAATGCAATGGTCAGTCTACCCAACATAGTCTTTATCACAATTACAACGCAGGCTGTATACATCAGCAGTCTTGAGTCCAACAAAAGCATGCTAAAGCTCCTAAATTGTTTCAAATCAACTCTAGCTATTCCATTTCCTTATTTTATGTATAAGGTAAGTCTAGCACATGCTTGAATCTGTCAACTAGCAACTACAGCAGTGTCCATGAAACTCGGAAGAAATATGATGGCATTAAGTAGCCAACTTCATGCAGAGTGCCTGCAATGGAATGAAGCCAGGTCTCACCAGATCTATTTGTTTTCATGCTCATCACAAAGTGGACCAATGCAACATGAACTAGTAACAATATGTCAGCGCCACATTCTCTGAGTATCTCCTTTTATTGCTGTTCAAGCTATGCAATGGAGTGAATCTCTTTCCTGTTCCCTTGGTAAGAAAGGAATTCAGTGTCACATACTTTAAAAACAAAAAAAATTTCACTATTAACCTAACAATATAAAATTTATTAACATCTCAAGGCTTCAGCCAAATGTAGGTTTTCAGGTGAACAAATAAATGTAACTTATGCACAAATTATATTTTCTGTGTTCCTTTTTGATAATATTCAGAACTATGGGTTCAGTACAAGTACGTAAGAATTCCTGCATTTCAAACGTGTGAAGCAGGTGAATTAATGCACTAAGGACTAGCCTTGCTGAGGTTTTATGATATGAAACTGGCTTCTGTGGTTGAGCAATGATAAATGTCAAGAATTATCTAATATGTTGGCTGCCATTGCAGTTGACCTCTTCTGGCTGGTAAGTTTTGGAAGCATTATATAGAGCAAGAAATAGCAGGGGGCAAGTTAGATTTGGTTGTTCTGATTGGTGGAGCGAAAGAGCTGGACAACAGCCCACTACCTAATCAGCACCACCAAATCCAATTTACTACTGTCTGCCCTTTATAATGGCTTCCAAAAATGCCCAGTCACTAGACACATCACAGACCCAACATCTCGTCAGAGAGGGCTCTCTACAGTGACAGGCTGCAGAAGCCAAGACACAGAATCTGAACCATGGTCATGAGCCTTTATATATATATATAAAGGGGGTGGAACCAGGACGGACTGACTGACTGATCGTCAGTCGTAATGTGAGTTGGGAATGAACAGCTACATACTCACTCAGAAGACAACAATTGCAATCTTGCCGAAACGCTGGATAATTTTCAACATCCGAAACGGATCGATCCCGAAAGCCATATTCCACAATGAACTCCAGCCGCGAAATAGGGCACGACTGTGAAGCTTGCACAAACGTTGCGGCCCTGCCATTTTTCATAAAATACAATACTTACAACAAATCATAATTTTGAAACCTAGTTACATACATACACAACACTCTTCTCCATCTATGGAACCAACTAATACCGCCTTCCGATGTAACAGATTGACAACCGTTTTCGCGCCATAAAAGATGACATTCCTCCCAAACCAGCTACCACATATACAATACCTGGTAATCTGTGCAATACATTAATATCGCAGCACTGCTACACAGATAGTAACAACATGGGTTGCCTATCACAGTTTCTTACTTACATAACTTCAGTACAACATATTCTATGAATATCAAACTGAATAAGTCTTGTATAACATAGGATTAATGATATTCCTTCGAACCTTCATAGGCATAACGAACGATGCCACGATTGATAGCGTGTTGGTAACTTTCATGTAGTATTGGTGTCTCTGGACACCCACATTACTTTCCCACAACGATACACACTCTACACCGAATACTCTCTCAGCAGGGTGCATTTATATTTCGACATACGCAAGGCCGGTTAACAGTTGCACGTCATAGAGAGTTAAGGATTAACGGGATGTACTAAGGGGAACTAATTACATTACTTTAGTTCTACTTTTGGTGTTATTTTTACATTGGTAAGTACTTTTGTACAAATTTGTCTCACATCACAGACGTCATTCTATGATAGGCAAGGAGCATGATTGCCACTATGATAACGAACAATATTCCACAACTGGATCAAGACTGTACTTGCCTAGGTAGATATAGTAGGATGTATTCAGGGAACAGCATTAAACAAAGCTTATTGATTAAAAATTAATGTTTTAAAGACTGAATTAATGCGGAGGGAATGGGCATTTGGATTAGAATGATTGTCAGGTTGGCTCTTCGTAATTTGGTTCACAACCGCGGGCCGGTGATCGGTATTGAAATTTTTATTATATTGTTACGAACATATGAATGAGCCTAATAAGCATGTGAAACGAAAAAATATATAATTTACTGGGCTGTCTGCCAATCCTCCACATATAGCATAATGGCATAAAGATAAACTCTTCCTTAACCCCTTCCCTGATTAATTTCTTTCTGACAATATGATCCAAAAAATATTATTTTAAATTTCATGTTTGGAATATACCCACAAAAATGAAATTATTGGTGCATGTTTTGATGAAAAGTATTTAACTGTACGGTACAAAATGTTGCTTATATAATTATAATCATTACCATCCTCAGTTATCTCGGGTTACTCCATTGTTTGTAAACATTAATTTCTTCACAATCACAGCACAAATGATGCTGCAGGTAGCATGAAAACTTATGACACAAGCTACAGAAGCATAAAATTCTTCCCATTCACATGTGATCAGTAAAAATATATAAATGCACATGACTTATTAATAATGGAAAGGACGAAGAAATAGTTCCAAATAATCTGGAGTTACTTTTTTGCAAAAATCTTCAACCCAGGATATTTTGATACAATCAGGGAAGCAGTTAATGAATTGCAATGGTGATTCAGTGTGGTACTCTGTACACTGGAACAGCAGAACCAGTCACATAAAATGTACTGATAGCCACTCATTATGATTTTATTCTTCATGTTTGTTTATTGGAGATACTAGTACAACACTGGCAGAACTAGTCAATAGTAAAGTATTAAATCTTTCTGTTGAAAAATAAATTAGGAGCAGAGAAATTATTTTTCCTAGTAGTTAATTAAATCTAAATTTTGTATCACCTACTAATACTTTGTAAGATGAACTGTTTAAAAAGTATATATAAAAGATTAATTTGAACTATATATAAAGATCGTGTTCGTTTGACTGATATGGATAAACTTTAAATTTGCTCAGAACTTCTGTTTAATAGTTTTCAAATAAAACATGGCCAGATGGATAAATATGATTACTTATTAGTGTTTATTTTTATATGCCATGCAAACTATAAAGATAAATGATTTTATAGGACAACAGGTGACACAGAAATGTGTTAACAAGCACACTCATACACAACAGCTGTATCTTTAACCTTTAACATTCATGTGCTGCAGTTTACACGTTCGAGCTGGCCATTCAGCTGGCAATAATTAATTCAAGAGTTGAGTCCAGCCAGCTGAGCTGTAATACAGCAGTTTATATAACATATTCCCACATGATAAAGGTTGACAGAGTATTTTATTATCAGATTTCAGATCAGTGATCATAGCTGTTCCTAAGTAAAATATAAAATGTCTTCTGAAGAATCACCGATAGAAATAGTACGGAGGAACAACAGAGAAATGGGTTATCAAGAGAGGCAAGAGCGCAGGGAGACACTAGTAAACAGTAGGCGTGGCACCCTTGGTGAAAAAGCAAATAGCCAGAAGAGAGTTATTACAACTCAAGAAGTAAAGACATTGGCAGAGAGACTGAAACACAAAGGCCATTTCACAGTTCAAGACTTCATGTTTCTTAATCATGCTCTCATACAGAATGAGGAAAACATAATTACTTTCTTCAGAGTGACAGGAGCCTTGCATGCACTTGTTCGAGAGCTGACAGGTATATTAGTTTAATTTCAGTTTGTTATATTTATTCTTGTTCCACCGTAATCCATTGCTTGTCAGCTTGTTTACATTTCTAGGCAAAGAAACAGCATTGGGTTTTCTGAGGACTGGTGTCTTGTCACAGTATATGGTACAAGGAATAGTCTACAACTCTAATAAAATACATAAAATACATTTATTTGTAATGTAACTATTAATGCCTAGATGTGGTATTAAAATTAATGAGGCATTAAAAATACTCATGATGAGCATTCATGACTAAAAATTATGTATGAGGGAATATGAACAGATTTAAGTTAGTATATACTGGAAAGAAATAATAATTGTAACTGAATTAGTTTGCAAGTCTCTGAAAATAACTAGCACAAAGTTGCCAAAATATTGCTGTTTGTTAAGTAGTTTCCTTTTAGATATGGTAATACATATTTGTATATAACAGTAGTCCACTGAAGGTTGGGAAACATTGATCAGTTCACTATAATACAATTAGTCCATTTACCTGACAGGTTATGTTTCTGAGACCCAACAAAAATTGGGACTGTTAGAAAGCACTATTTCCCATTCATGCAATATAATAATTGATACAGTCAGCATCCACATAGTATATAAACCAATGCTTAAATGGCTTTAAAATTGTAAGATTTGAGGTTTCCACAGTGGTGAGTATGAAGATTTCTGTCTTCTGGGTTGTTGCGCTGTGTAGTCTGGTCGATGTTAACCAACGTTTCAGAGGTCATACTGCCTCCATCATCAAGGCAAAACGTTGGTTAACATCCAGGGCGATGAATATTCTTCACCCTGATGACGGAGGCAGTATGACCTCTGAAACGTTGGTGGACATCTACCAGGCTACACAGCACAACAACCCAGAAGATAGAAATCCTCGGCTTTAAAATTACTCAACTATAATGATTATTCTGCACTACAGTATTAGAAAACTCAAGATAACGTAAGTTACCATTGAAGATGGTTTGTACTGTGTGAAATTGCAAATGAGAAGGTGGAAGTTGAGTAATGGTGTAAATGGAGTCAGGAAGACATTTACCATCAGGGTGATGATTCATCACCCTGGTGATGGAGGCACCAAGGACCTCAGAAATGTTGGTAAACTTCTACCAGATTACACAGCACTGCAACCCAGAAGACAGCCATTTTCACTTACCACTATGAGAACCTCAAATCCTACTTATATTAAAATATATTTAAATACAATAAGGTTTGAGGGTGAACTGGATTCATCTGATTCAGGTTAGGCACCAGTGGCAGGCTCTTGTAAATGTGGTACTGAACCTTCAGATTCCATAATATGCTAAGTGTATTATCTTCTCAAGAAGGACTCTGCTCTATGGAGTTAGTTATTACAGGGGGAAGAGTCATTATTAGGTCAATTTATATTTGCAGGACAAAATACTTCACTTCAATTGTCTGCTGCCAACTGTTGCTGTAATTTGGCTCTTGGCAATAAGAAATCGTGCCTACAGTTGACAAAAGCTGCTGCTCCATACCTTATCTCACACTTGGATGGACTGAACAACCATCTGTTGGTAAGATATTTATTCATGTACATTGAAGGTGCAACATAATTTTGGAATGCATAATTTTAGCAGGAAAACGCACTGGTGCTACCGTAAGACATAAGTTTGGAATTTGCCAAATTCCTTTATTTATGGAAATCTGAAACTGTAATATTAGGTTCCAGAGCAACTGAGCAGGTTGGATTAGTGGTAATGCTGTAGATCTGTATTCTGGAAGTCACCATTTAAATAATGGTTGAACTTCAGAACTTTAGACAAACTAATTCCTGGTTATGAGTTTTCTAATTTCCCTAAGTCCTGTTTGAATTTTATTTCTTCTGTCAGGGCCATAGTCTTCCAGGTTATTTGCAGCCATGACATTTTCCAAACAAAATGTCTAGTGTCCCTGAAGTACGTTCCGTGTGTGTCCCACCTTCCAGTCCTTTACTTAGTTATCATAATAATACAAATTGAAAACAAAACATGAGGTAATCTTCCAAAAATTCTGCATTATATTTATATTACAAATTTTCACTCAGGTAAACAGAATGTGCATACTATAAAAGAATAGCCTTCATCTTCAGGGTTGAAGTGAGAAGGGTTAGTTAGGATGTCAGTGAATCATATAGGGTTAAGTGGAAGATAGATCCAGGGAGGACCAGCTAGTCACCCAGTCTGGGCCAATAAAATCAAAGAATAGGATAGCACCCTTTTCAGGATCACTAGAAAGGAAGGCTGTGTCAAGAGGAAAGGTAGACCTCTTCCAGACCCCATAGGGGATGGGTAAAGAGGAAGTATGTCTTGTATGAACCAATAAAGAACCTTCTTCTGTTCACTCAGGATTTAAGTAAGACCTGACGTCTGTTGTTGCTGCATGATGAGTGTCATCTCTTTTTCTTCCCTGATAGTCTCATCCACGAATCTGTATTTGTTGGCCAGGAAACTATTGTCATTAACAGGATATGAAGGCCCAGGTTGATGTTATGTCCAGCCACATGTTCTTTGGTCATGATTTCAATTAAATCACCAGTTTGTCCATTACAAACCATCAACCCTTGCAGAGGATGGTGTATATCCCGTTTTTTAGGGCTAGGTCATCATTAACAGATAAAAACAAACTGGAGATTTTCCTTGGGCAGTGCCGTTCTCATGCTGTGCATAATTATCATTTTATAGGAAATTTGTGTCTGGACACTAGGAAACCTGGCAGGAAGCGATGTTAAGTCCTGGACAGTTTTACATGCACAAGGTCTGTTGCCTAAACTGTTACATTTAATGACTTCTTCAGAAAGTGATGTGGTATGTGCGACTATTTATGCCCTTACTCATTATGTCAGGGTTGGACTGCATACAAGCGATCTCAAGTAAGTATACATTCAACACACACAATTTAATAATTTAACACTTGCCTCAAATTATTCTGTGTTTGTCTTAGTCCTTTCAAGAAAATGCTGGAATGTCTTGAGAAAGCCATGACCTCTTCCTCCCCGGTCCTTTATCACAGTTCCTCAAAGTCTCTCACATCGTGGCACACTAGAATATAATTGAATATCTCATCACACAATAAATCATGTTATTACTCAAAGATGTGGGCACAGATAAATTATGTTGATGTTAGTCTTCATACTTTATTTTTCTTTTTATTCATACAATTGTTTTAATAAAAACTTAAAGGATTAATAGCATTTTGGAATGTATACTGAGGCAGCAAAAAAAAAAGTCTTGTGGATTGACTCCAGTATACTCCCCTGTATTCCGTATTCCTTACCAGCCATTTAGTCATCCTGTCCGCAGGAAGGCTGATAATGATAACCATTGCTAGAGGCAAACACTTTGGACTGGATGGCACAAGTCAGAGAGAAACAATGCAGCACAGGAGCAATAGTCTCAAACACATTCATCCTCACCACTTGTGGGACTTTGTTCAGTTGTTTGAGTATAGTACTGAATGATGAGTGAAAGCCAAATTAATTTTTAAGATTAAAATTAGTTATTCTGAAAAAAAAAGATTATAATAAAAGTATGAATAATATCAAGGGAGAAACCATTTTACAAAGAAACAAGCACAGGCTGATGACCTGACAAAACAGGGTTGAAAAAGATCTAAATTCTGTTGCCACATTTTGAGACCTATTTTTGATATACAGAAAAACATCTGAATTCATTTTCATGGTGTACTTAGTCTCAAGTAATGGCACAAACATACAAATGTTTAAATATGCATTATTTTTCTTGTTACAGCTCAGGATTACAAAAACACATTGTCATGAATGTACATCCTGTAATGGAAAGAGATGCATCATCTTGTTGGGTGATTTATCTTCTTTCTTGTTGTTCTGAATGTGACGATGTAATGTTGATCAACTCAGTTGTGAGTCGAGGAGTCTGTCTCTTACGACAGTGTAAAACTGCTCCAGACAGTGAAGTGAATGTCTCAAAGATTACAGCTCTTGTGAGGATGTTGGGGAACTTAAGTGCCAACAGGGAAGCTGCAGAGATTCTACTTATTCATTCTTCAATCATATCAGTTTTGAGAATGCTTCTGGCGTCTCCATACATGCACGTACAACGCGAGACATTGTGGCTTGTTGGAAATTTATTGAATCATACATCCGTTGAAATTCAACTTTTGGCCAAAGACAGCAATTTGATAGAGAGTATAGAGCCGCTATTAAGTGATGCTCTATCTAATATTCTGTAATTATTTATGAAAACTTGAATATTAAATTAAAGTTTTTAAAATTAATTTCAAAGACTCCAAGGAACTGTTAAAGGTTTTGTAATAAAAAGTATGCAATTTCTGGTTTTTGTTTATATCATACTTTGGGAGAAGTGAGAAATACTTAAAAAATTGTCATAATACCTCAAAGGAGCTGATTACTAGGTATAGATAGAAGGATAATATTAAAATAAATGTGATGTGGAGGTGTAAACTGGCTGAGGATAGAGTCAATAGCAGACTTTGGTGAGCAAAGTGATGAACCTTTGGGTTTCATAAATGTATACAATCCCTTGACTAGCTGAGTAACTATAAACATTTGTAAGATCTTACACCATGGAGTTAATTCAAATGTTACCTTTGAAAGCAATAAAAAGTCCCACCTCTTGGCTTTTTACCAGTAAGTGGCATGTCTAGATTGCCACATTTTTAGTGTGAGAACAGACAGGTTTTGTACTCCAGCATTTCTCCAACATTAATGTAACTTATTGTCCTGACGCAGTCACAAGAGTATCATTACTTTGAACACTGTGCACTACATTTCATGATATGAAGAGAAAGTGGTACACTTTTTAGTCTTAAAAGAAAGATGAACTAATGCCAGAATGTAAGTTTTACAATAATACATTTTATACATGAATACAGAAGACATTAGAAATATTCAACCCCGATAGCAATCCGGTAACTAGAAATATTTTTAAAAAGAGTCCTATCAGAAATGTTTAATATGCCAAATCATGAAATCTGTGGAATAATACAAACATAAACAGGACATTGAATGTGATGAGTGGAAAACTTAATTTATAGTGAACCATCACCTGTTGTAGCAAGAGAGTTACAAAATTCCGTGCAGTACTTAACTACCAGTCATTGTCCAAGTAACAATAAAACTGTATCACTGTATATATACTTTGTTATTTTATGCTACTTTATGGATTGCCCATTGTTCTGTTGTAAGAAATAATGTTTCACGAATGTTGTTTGTTGATTTTCCAGTCACATTTCACATGCACCTAGCACGTTCATGCCATGCCGAGCCATAAATGTTTCATTGTTACTGCACATTACATTCATTGGTGGGAAATAAGGACAGTGCACCAAGGTCTGAAATCTGAAGTACCCACATGACATTCAGGTCATTCCACTGTGTGTCAGAAACATTTTCAGCTGTTTCATTCACTACTATCATGATCAACTGCCATGGTTTTTTCCTCTGACTGCATTTCAATTAATCTAATTTAGGTCTTTTGTAAGCTAAGGGTAATAATCACCAAGTTCATATGGTTTACAAACATAGGCAATATTCAAACCTTTTGTATTCTGGTCTCTTGTTTCTCCATTTCTGGATCACTGATATGGTTGGTAAGCAATCATAACCAGTTGTTACAGTGAAAAAGTGATTTATGTTCGACACTTCTGTTGTTTGGCAACCATTGAATGTGTAACACTATAATCAAGTTGTGCCACAGTGCTAAATAATGAGCACTAGTCAATATAAGTTATCAATAAACAAACTTCAAGAATAACCCAAGCATAGCCTGGGTACACTATGTATTATTTTTAGTAACCAGGTTAATTTCAACTTAATGACCAAGTATAGCCTGCAAGCTTTAATTTACCTGTTCATGACTTAGACGAACTGATGAGCTTTCCTGAATTTCTTTGTCACGCAGCCAGATTCATCACAGGTGGGAGGAATATCTTCCACGCACGGGACCTTTATTATATTGAAATAAACATTTCCCATGAGTCTAGCCAGAGGAGTGTTCTTGTTTTTCAGGCATTGGGAAAGCCTGTTGTCACAAGCACAGTGCGATCTGTAAACGAAAGAGAAACAATGTCCGAAGCTGCTTGCAAAATATTACTGACAATCCAGCAGTACCACAGTTTCTATATTTAAACTAGTTTTTAAACAACACATTTCTTACACTACTCCTACTTTTGGTAAATTTTTCCCACCATATTATTTTATTTCACTGCCAAAAATACATACATGAAAGTAATTCAGTTGCTACTACCCATTTGAAATGAGGCTCGGCGGACCCCTGAGGCAGTCTGAAAATGGATGTGGAGAGAAAATTCCTAACTTCCCACAAAAATTTTCCTCAGGGTAAAGTGGCCCTACCATGAAACTGTCCACCAACTTCCATGTAGCACAAAGGCCTAGAATTTAATTTGGATAGGGTTAGGTTATAACATCATGCATACAAACAACTGTTTACACTTGAAAGGACACTAATGCCAAACGGGTTTCGACCTCAAGAGATTATTATCAGTGGCACTGCACGGCGATTGGCTTTGCATCGTTCGGCGCCGGGTTTACCATTTCTTGTCAATGTCAATGTTATGTTATATATATATATATATATAAAACATGTCACGACGTCCGGATCGCCCGGCGTCGGCTGTCGTTCGTCGTTTCCAATGGAACCTGTCAATGTGGTACCTCATGAAGGCGTCTCGGTTATACGCATCTCGACACTCAGCGTCGGTTTCCTATTTCGTTTCAATTGACGTGTCTTCGCGCATGAACTATCTTGTGTAGAAGTTCGTTTCGCGCTGTGCCGTCTGCACGTGGACCGTCGGGGATTTCTACGTGTGCGTGCCACGACTCACGGTGGACACAAACGTAAAGCCACAAGAGACACTTCGCCTCCACCTCTAATAGAACGACACGACTCAATGGGATAATGCACCAGTTCGTGTGCAACACAAACTATGATATATAAACATGACTTAAAAGAACAGGACCCCATCTTTATACACAGTTTTGTGACAATACATTGTTGTATTTTATGGACTAATTTAATACGCCACGCCACTGATGATAACCTCGTGATATTGAAACGCCTCTGGCAAAAGTGTAGACAGTTGGTTTGTACATTTGTTCCTGGATAGCTTTGCTCTTAGTAGTGTGGATTTTTCTGTTCTTTTAACATGTAAAGAAATTCTAAAATCTTTAATATTCCCACTACTTGCCCTAATATCTACATGCCAGCAAATTTAGCACACAGTATAAGCATTCACTATTCAAGGAACTGAGTAAAGCTAAATGGGGTTCAACTTACTTAGTGTAGAAATGTTCATTAGTGAGATTATAACGTGTTCTGTAAGATTGCACCTTAACAGGACATAAGTCATGAGTACGACAGCATTTGTCCACATCTTTTTCTCTGCCCAAATCAAAGTATGATTTTGCAATATCTGAATTACCACACCACTTGGTTCCTGAAAAAGAAGGAAAAAGCATTGAATACGCTTAACTCTCCAGTCTAGTTTTCTGATTTCATACTTGTGAAGAGATTTCGCCAGTACAGTTCTCTGTAGATAATATATTTCCCCTAATGAAACTTTAACTAATGTAACAGTTTTGAATACGCGTAAATAATCATGATTCTTCCTCGTACAAATGACAATTATATGGCTGGACTAGAAAATCCCTACTCGTTTGAAACCAATAATTAATCATTGTGTTTTACAGAAGCATATTATTGGACCCTCTCCTGAGTTAGCTGGAATACGACTTAGGTGGACAATGTAATACTATGTACAGAAAAAGACAGGAAACCATATAGACTGAAAGGGCGAAGACACGTGGTCAAAAATTTCATGGTAATATTATAAATCTACAAGGTGAATGTTATAAGAAAGGCCATGAAGTTGCTGGAAAGCAGATTTTTAGGCTTTTACAGCATTTAAGTTGTCCAGTCTGTGATGACAAGAATAATAGGACGTGACATGCACTATAGGAAATATTCTAACCTGGTACAATGCCAAGAAGAACTGTTTCGGTAACTCGCGGAGATTTATTTGACTTATCCGAAGTTTCCAGCGAAGATACAAGGTCGTGACATTGGTTCATTAGCTGGAACATTTCCTCAAAACTAATGTCCATTGGCATGGATATGGAGCTCAGACTTCGTAAGGTGTCGTCTACTTCCTTTGGAGTACTGCAAGAGAAATCGTCTAATTACTTTTCTGGCACTTAACGTTTCAATTGCATGCGTAACAAAGATGCTTGTAAAGTTGGAGATATAATGTTTAGCATTCGTGCTTCGTTTTCAGGAAGTTCCAGGTTCCTAATTAATGTAAAATATGATGTTTGAATAGTTCTTAAACTGAACAATCGTCCTTCCCAAACACCTGAGGCATACGACCTACTATCCTCATGAAGACACGTACTAAACAATATTTGATTACTGAAGTCGTATTAATAAGATAATGAAGTTACTTTTCGCTGACGCTGTCTTCAGGTAATCTTCACGTTTTAGCGTAAACGAAGAATGTCGTATGGGCCCGCTCATGTCTAATGATTAACTTTGATACGAATGTGGCATTTGTTCTTCCACTGGTTGCCCTGATGCAGAATTAACAACACCTTTCAAATTTTGGTGTTCCCCGTACGAGTACCAATTTTACCAGTCAGATTTGGATACAGTGTTCTGCATTTTCAGCTCGTCATTGTCGATTTCCCTTCGTACTGCAGCGAAAAAGAATTCAAGTACACCAGATAAAATTGCACCAGGAACAAGACAGCAGCAAGAAATGTGTGCCGAGCTGTTACAGACCCAGAAATAACGAAGTAGGTCAGTGTTGTAGTGTCAGTCGGCCAGTCACAAGGCGTGTACCGCACGAACCACATAGCATCACGCAGAGGTTCGGAATTCCAATATTCTTACTTCGTATGTGTATATAATATAGTAGCAACAAAGCCTACATTCGTGTGACGGAAAAATGTTTACCGAAGCCGAAATATAAACCAGTATTTCTACACGTTCTTGAGAATCTAAGTCAAGAATTAGTTTAAAAAAGGCCTATAAAGGTTTTACACATCTTTAATAAGATTGCCTTCAGTTTATAAGGTTGCTTATTAGCCCTAACTGTTATTAAATTTAATTAGTATGACTTTACAGTATGCTGACATATTAAATAAAAACATTTTTATTATTTGATTTGGAAGAGAAACGATGAGTTAAATAAGAGAGACCTGAAGCAACACTGACGAGATTTTAAAAGATCTATTCTTTAATTCACTAAAGTCATCAGAAAACAATGACATGAGACATAAATCAAACCGCGTAATGTGAACAAGGCCTCATACAAACATATTTACGCTCGCAATAAAGCACGTTAATTAGCTAGCAGCTACGCATTTCTGGATGTAACATACGAAACAATGGAAACAATTCCTGGTTCTTGAACTGCTTGTGAAAATGGCTGGTTCTTTGTCCATCGCGATAAGTCATGAAGGTGCAATTTCTTACTTCGGTGGTTTGCGGCGTTGCCAAGCACGTGGCACCCTCCTTTCGATAATGCAATTCCAAGAAATTGTAACGTACGTGCATATATTTACTTATTTTATTTCTTCTTTATTCACTCTCAAGGACGAATGAGTTGATTTCATATTATTTTCACTGCCTGGTTTTGAAATAATTTAGCACCTTTATTCTTTATTCAAAAGTTGCATTGTCCTTTCTCCTAAAATTCCTGTTTGTCACGAGTCTCTCACTCACTCTACGGCGCAGGAAATTTTTCGAAAAGTCAATTGAATGCTCAGATTGTCATAGAATATCCCACTTTCTTTATAGAACCGGAAGATTCACACAAAATCCCGCCATCGGACTCTATCCTGAGCTAGCTGGCTCCGTCATCACGGCGATGAATCGCCCTGATGACGGAGGCAGTATGACCTCTGAAACGTTGGTAAACATCGACCAGACTACACGGCGCAACAACCCAGAAGACAGAAATCTTCATACTCACCGCTGTGATAACCTCAAATCATACTATGTTATTCTGACTTGTTAGTGTAGTCCTTATATTCTGGTTCTGTTCTAAATTCTGATGCCGAGACATGGCCATACTTTGTCTTTGCTGAATTTACTTTTAAACCAACTAGCCCTTAATTGTCGTACAACAGATTAATATCATCAGCATAGATCAAAAGCTGATGTGTCTCACTCAATTCCAAACCGCCCTGATTTACTTGGACTTTCCTGAAGGCGTATTCTATGGCAAGATTGAAAAGCAGAGGTGAAAGAGCATCTTCCTGTTTCAAGCAATTCTAAATAGAAAGTATATCGGACAAATGTTTACCTACACAAATGTTGCTAGAGGTTTTACTTAAACACGTTTTAATTAAGATGACTAGCTTCTTAAGTACACCAAATACAAGCAAAATATTGTAAAGACCTTCTCCTGTAACTGTGTCATAGGCTTTCTTGAAGTCTGTAAATAGTTGATGGACCACCCCAAGCTAAGCTCGGAAGGCACCCGGTTAGAATTTCTGCCGGTCTATTCTCTTTTCGTTGAATACAATAGAATTTTTTATCTATGTACATTCTATAGTTCCTTTATAGGCCTAAGTCAAGGATGCAGAACAGGTCATAGCACAAATATAAATACGTAGGTATAACAGCTATTTACAGGTTTTTGGAACTACAGTAATATAGAAAAAATAATTATGATGAGAAACCATCGCCATTGTTACTTACATGTATTTATAATAGTTGAGACTTTTTTTGGTGATGTAGACTCTTCTACTGAGTAGAAGGAGTAAGATAGGAGATACTCTTTTAACGCAGACTTAAACACTTTTATATCGTGATTTAAACTTTTGATAGTAGGTGGAAGATTATTTAATAACTTATTTCCACTACAGTAAACTCCTTTTTGATATTGACTGAGGTTAGAATTCGGCATATGAAAGTTGTTTTACTTAGTCTCTCCAGCCGGATGTCAAATAAGGACGGACTCCTTCTACTCCATACCTACTCACCACTCATGATCTTCCTTCTCAATAAATATTATATAATCTGTACACTTGAAGCAACGTTGTAAAATAGCAATGCTCTATTTACTCGACACAGTCTCGTTAGATAAATAAAGAAGCAAGCAACTTGCATTCTGCAGGCCCGCGAATCGAATCCCATGTCATCGACCTAACATTTCGTTTTCTTTTCTTAGTCTTTTGAATCTAATGACTCGACTGAATTCTACTCATTTCCCGAAAGATAATTATTTCGGACTGCGTAGCACAGACAGTGTGTGTCTCCTACCAGAAAGTGCGGTTTCTGATCCTGACCTTGGGTGTTATGGATTATTTCTCTGCTGTCATGCTCACTTCATTCTAGCTAATTTCCAGTGTTCAAGTACACCAACCTCTTCCTTCCCAATCTTATTCTAAACACGGCTAATGAACATTCTTACAGAGACTGATCGATTATCAGGTTGTAAGTTTCGCAGATGTGCCACGGTGGTCTAGCGATTAGAACGCTGGCCTTGTAATGCTGGGGTCTCGGGTTCGATTCCCGGCGGTGCCCGAATTTATAACTTGTGTTGGGCAAGGCCGTGGTCTAGGCAACACGGAGTTTTCCTCCGGGGGCTTCCCCGGTTTCTCCGTGGCATCCCAACAATTACTCCATTCACACACAGAAGAAGGCAATGGCAAACCATTTCTGGATCATCTGCCAAGAACGTATATGAACAGGTCCCAGTCCGAGAAAAGGATGGAAGGATCCTGTTCATATGGACCTGTCCTCAGACAGAACACTAAATAATAATAATAAAGTTTCGCAGAGGCATTAATTTATCTATCATGGATACTCAACGGTGTAGAGGCTAATTAATCCCGCCCACGTTTCTTTATCGCGGTAACTTTATTCCAGTAATAAAACAAAAATTAAATATTTTCTCCGATGCCATGCCCGTACTTCAGAAATAAAATAATATTACCAGTACAGTGGATTCCGGTTAATTGGGACACATCTGGACTAAAATAATTTGTTCCAAATAAACGGCTGCCCCGATTAACCGGAATTTACTGTACCTGTTTGTAGAATCATAACGTCGCATCACACGCCTGGTTCTTTCAAATATAATCACAAGAGCCTCTTAATTAAAAAATTAAATCGGAATTCCGAAGCTTGTTTCAATCAGTTCATTAATAAAATTTCATCATTTACCTAAATCTATCTTCATGCAGACTTCAAGTTCCTCAACTGAATGACACAAATGTTGCCTCCACCTCAAAATTTCGCATCGTGGCCTTGTAAGCAGACTTTTTAAACATGAGACTAAGCAGTGGCGTGTAATGACATTTCATATACTACATCAATTAATTGGTCTCAGAGTTATCATGATTACGTTACAAAACCACAAACACAATTTCTTGAAACAAGAGAATACAATGACTATTATATTCTTCAAAACTTACGTGACTTCAACCAGCTCGCAGTTTTCGAGACTTCTTCCTGGACCAAGTTCGACTACCGCCACAGTTTGATCGTGATAATACACCTGTTTCACTGAATCACTTCGTGCCCACAGACCACTGAAACCTTTATAGGAAGATGTCTCCTTTGATGCGCGGGAAAATGACTGAGCCTTTGCGAATACAGGGCCGATGATCAACAATGCCAGTCCAGCAACAGACAATGACAACCACGCACCACCCGAAATTGTCCTCACTTCTCTTGCTTGAGACATTGTTGATACTTCAGCTGCTATAACACTAATTCGACGATCAAGAATTAACATACTTAGTTCACAATAATACAATGAACTGTTTTGCTCTATTACAAATTGCCGGAACTTCACACACTGATTCACATTAACATATATCACGGTTCGGTGGATCCTAATTGTGCCACTGAAGCTATATCAGCAATATTTATAAAGACTAATACAGAACAATTTTCACATGTTTTCTTTACGTTTCGTTAATGTACACCGACGAAACGAACGCACTTTCATGGTCTCAGAGACGACAGAGATTTGTATTCACTCACCTTGACGAACAAGTAAGTCCAACCGTTAGCCAGCGAGTACACAGCACAACTGGAAGTACTTTTGAGGACACGAAATGAAAGCTGTTTATATGTACAACAGAAGGTGTGGGGGGCGGGGAGAAAAAAATCACCTGGACTCCGCGAAAGTTTCCGAAAGTATTGACTTTATGCTGTGAAACTTTTGTTCTAATTTTATTTGCCAATAATGGATTCATGCTGCTGCTATAATCAAAGATTTCTACATCGAGAGCTATGAAAGAGAAAAAGAGGGCAGGAAATTTGTTTTACTTACAGGGTTTATTATATAGCGTGAAATGAAATGGTAACATTAAAAGTGACTTTGGAGTGGTCGCGACCTATTTGAAAGAACTATCCCGGCTTGAAGAGACTATGGAAATAAACAAAAATCTAAATCAGATTAGGATACATTGACCTAAATGGAATAAATTGATTTTAATACGTCAGCATTGACCTCTCGATGTGTGACTGGATGCTTTCTGTAATTTTGTGGGTATGAAGGAACGTGTTACATATGCAACTAGTCTTACTATGGACATAAGTATTATAAAAATGCCCACATTTCGTCAGAAATGCCAAGACCCTATATTATTCTCATAAACAAGTATTATGTTTATCAATAAAGATGACAGAACATGCAATTTTATCACGATTTTAAAAACATATTAGGCACAGAGAAACTAAACACAAAATGAAGTCTACAGTAATAAAGTTTGGTGACACTAACTCTAGCATTAGCAAGTAAATATTCGACTGACAAAGGAAGATAGTCTGTGCCATTATATCTGTGTACAAAGTTCACACACAAACCTGGTATGTCAATTAACCCAAAGTTGGCTGCATTTTTTTCCCAAGCATAATCTCAAAACACCATAAACACCGATCGAAGCAATTATTAGTAATTATGACTAACTTCCAAAGTCTTCATTGGATTTCTGTTTCAGTAAACTGATAAAAAATTGACAGTGGAACCACGGTTCCGGAGAATCTGACGTAAACGCGTCTTTGTATTTCAATTATATTTAGGCAATAAATACAATGAAAGGAAGTTTATATATTAGCTTTATTCTAAATATTCCCTTTATACATGCTTTACAATTGAGTAAATAGTTTGATTAAGACATTGCTTAATTATCTATCCCTCATATGTTCAGCATTAGTTTTTGGTATTTTTGGGGGGGGAACTTCTGGTTCATTATTTAATACTTCTGTTTTTGTACGTTTTCTGTACTGTCTTATATATTCTGCTTTACGGACTCTTTTAGTTTCAATGTCATCCATGTTGTTATCTCTACATAGTATGACGCAAGACACAAACGCAGTAGCGTGAAGTGCGATGCGCCTTTTCCCCTTACCTCAAACTTTGTTTAATTGTGAGAGACCACGATGTCCACCCCCAATGATCAATTTAATCAAAACTAAAGTGGAGAGAGTGGAGGGCAGTATCACAGATTTCTTAATAATTCTTATATAAGATAAGTACCTGTGATATTCTAAAACGTTTTTAACAGCACAATATTATCTACTCTACGACGCACTTCTACAAGCGATTCACAGCTCAGCTCTTTCCGCTATAAAGAGAGCGGATTGTTGACGGCAGTAATGAAACACATCAATGCCGATAAACAGATGACATAACAACTAGTTTCTTAGGTAATGCATAATAAATGAGAAAAGAGCCTTACGTCATGCTCAGCTAATATTGTTGCAGGCGTGTGTTAGAAATTCGAATCCTTTTTCTTGCATTGTTATGCACGCAGGAGTTCATATAAAAGCTGACCATTGTCGGTCCATATTTACACGTTGTTGGTATGGATCTTACACATCTTCGTAACGTTGTTTTTGCCGAAAGACCCTTCCGTATAGACGTATTTATGTCAAAAAATTAGACTGCCATTGTTGATGAACCATGACTGGATAATCTTACGAGAAACGCCAGACAACATACATTTCACATAAAGCTTCAAAACCGCGCCTTCACAACACGCCATCTTTCACTATAGTTGAGTACCAACATGACTAACCTAATGGCGCAAAGTTTAAAATCATTCGATGAATATATTTGACACAAATGTGTCATTTTAGTCATCTATGTCACTTCAGGCGAGTCTCCCCTATTTGGTAACTAGTCGAAATTTGACTCAAGTGCTACCTCAACCTGGTCGGTTTTTATAATGAAGGTGTCAACATTTGTCAATGTTCTCATCGGTAATGGAACTCGTAGGTCTGACCAACACCTATAATACTAAAGTCCGGCATTGGACACGATTCTGAGCCAGTGCCATCCACCGCCTATCTTCACAATTTCTTCCCCTGAGATACTTCTAGGCCTGTTTTAGCTTTTGTTATGTGATTTTTCACAACACTCCCTAGAATTATTCATGGTTACCGGCAAATTACTAATTCAGGGATGTCGGAAGTAGACTAACATTTTCATCAGTTATTTATAAGGAGGAGATAGTACGATAACGTCTAGGTGACAAGTGCGAACTATTATTGAGACACGCAACTTCCCATTGTACGTTCATTTAATGTCCTTCCTGCGAGGACCCATAAAACCTGTTCTAGATTATTTGTTTCAATGAGTTCAAAATGACAGAATTGTAAAGGCTGTCCGCGACTAACAAATACGATAAACAAATAAAAATCTTAAAACCAAAACAAGGATAGTGGCATTTCCTTTCCCACACATATTGTACTACCATGACTCAGTCCATTTGGAATATCCTAGATACTGGTGTATACGAGATACGATAGGCGAAGCTCCCTAGGTTCATTTCTCTTCGTTTAATTACTGTAGACATTTCTTTCAGACCAGATGTAATACTTGTTCTGTAGTTGGTTCTTCTAAAGTTGGGTAATTTCCTTTACATCGTATGTGATCGTTACATCACCACTTTTGGTTTTCCTCACATTAGTACAGCAACTTTACGTGACCACAAACTCGGTGAAAACAAGGTAGCCTATAACACAAGAAGAGGTTCGTATCATAATTTTGAACACAGAAGTGTTTGTGTTCAAAACAAGAAACATTAAATCATATGATAACATTATTTCACACAAGATGTCTGGAAGGAATCCAATTCGAATTTCGGCCGGGTCGGTGGTTTATTGTGAATTTCTGTAGACAGTATCTCAGATTAGTTTTCTCCCCCCCGGCTGCTTGTTAAGTTACAAATCCTCACACGTCATTCAACTTACGCAACAAGAATGAAACAAAAAGAAACAATACCTGCAGTATCCTTGGGTAGCAAACACATGTTTTGCAGCAAATAACGGCTGACGTCATCCATTATGTAAACACGCTTTCAATCACCTTAACATATATTTAGGTAACGGAGTTTCCAAATAGATCAGAAAGGGGACTTGATGATTCTGGAGTAAAAATGTTTAATCAGAGGAACTAATCAATACGATTTAGTTATATGGACTCCAGTTTCTCTAATACGTTCTCAACCTATGGCTCGCGTACCACCAGTGGTTAAATTAGAATTATTGGTACGCCAGCAAAAAATGGTGAGAACCCCTGATCTAGTATATTAGATGGCTGTCCTCTGGGCTGTTACGAATTGTATGATTTAATAGACAGACTAATGAATTAATGTTTTGCCATTGATGATGACGTCATGAGGTCGAGACGCTTTTGGCACCAAGTGTTTTTCAAAATGTAAACAGTTTACACTTTGAAAAACACCTAGCGATATATTTATATGTCACTGCTTGATTATGTCTGGGTAAAATTTCTTTTCAACTTCCTGTAGGAAAATTTCGGCCAAAATACTAGAAATAGGGGAGCCCATCGGTGTACCATCATCCTGCTGCCAAGTGTGTGATGATGATGATCAATAGTGTTTCACAGACCTGATGGTGATATCTGAAGTGTCATGTGTAACTGTCACTGCATGGTCATTCATGGCTGCCTGACTATTCCTCTGAAATAATGAGCATAAACAAATCAATGGTGAAATTTTAATACAATACACTCATGATACAAAATGTACCACACATCCACTGACATAAGATCAAACAAAACATAAGATGAAATATCTGGTTAAATACAGACAGTTCATAAAAGATGCACTCACATTAGTTTTACAAGAAGTGAAATTCAGATAATCAAAGCAGAATGTAACGCAAGTAAACTGGATATTAAACATCATTTAATCAATATTGAAAGTTTGAGACAAAGACTGATCCCTTACATATATATTTATACACGAATATTGACACATTATAAAAAATATTCAACTGTATGAAAAAGTAACCCTCACATACAGAGCTCAAAAATTTGCGCTTTTGCGTATCACATGTGGTAGTACTGTATACAGTAAAGAAGAATTTCTTGAGTGCCAAGAACACTTCACAAAGGATTCCAAAGAAACGATGATCAACACAAATCCCACGTTCCTACCACACAGTATTACGATGGATTGAAAACAGTATTCACGAAAAAAAGGGTCGTACAGGGATTCATTTCTTAGCTTATTTAACAGCGGTTTTTAAATCACATTGTGCAAGGTCAATGAAAATATGATGATTTGCGAAGGATGTAGAAGGACCTGTCTGAAGGTACTACCCCAGCACTGGCCTAAAGGGATAGAGGAACTCACACTGCAACGCATCTTGACACCGAACCCCCAAGCCAAAAATACAGGACCTCCATATAATGAAGAAGAGCGTTGAGACTTGCTTAACTGCTTTTAAGGCTTCACAGAGGAATAAAGCTTGGAAACTTGCTCTTAAAACCACAAAACACAATCTGTACATAATCAGTAACTGAAAATAAATAAATCCTCTAGACTGAAAGGAAGAGCAACATTACTTTCCTTGTCTTGTATTTTGTGCAATAAACAAGTGTTATTAAATTCACTTATTCCGAGTCAAAACAAACAACAAATACGGCACTAGTGAATTTCAATTGAAACAAGTTTTACCTCAATCATACACAACACGAATTTACATTTTAGACATTGGTCTGCATTCCCACATTTAAATTAATTTGAAATGTACAAAGCTTTTAAGCTATCTCCATTTGCACACTCTAAAATTCTAAATCAAGTATGTGTCAGGGCATATAAATACACGATGCTTATGATTACAAACACAGTAATATTAGAAGCACTTTATTTTAATTTGGTGTACAAAAATCAATTTTGAGAAGACACTATTTTTATTGAAGTGTTCATAAATACAAATGATGTTAACAACGTAGCTCCCGGCGAAATTTAAGAAGGAACGGATCAGCACATCAAAATAGAGAGAAAATAATGCAGCAAGAGGCAGAGTTAAACGCTGTGTTTGAAAAAGCAAAGAGGAGACTAGTAAAAACTTTTATGCAAGAGCTGGTATAAGTAACACAGACACAACTTACAGACGACGAGGTGCGGGACAAGTAGAAACAGGAAAGTGGAAGGAGGAATAAGACTAAGAAGTGGAGAGTCAAGATAAGAGGAAGTAGTTATGTGTACACAAAGAGCAAAGTCATTCACAGGACAGCTTTATCTCATACTGTAATGGGAATGATGTAGCAAGACACCCCCAAACTATCGCACTACAGCCCGACACAAAATTATCCAGATTCTTTCTGACCAACTCCACCTTCCGCACTATTGTGGTAGAGCAACATGAAGCAGTTTTCCGCTTCCATATTCTGTCAAGAGTCCAATTTGACAGTACATTATCATATCTTACAGAAGAGCTTTTTAAATGGAAGGTTTAATACAAATTTGTAAGAACCATACGCAGAGGCTGAAATGACCCTAAGGACTTCGGAAAGAAAGGTGGTGAAGTTCAAGATAAGAGACACCAAATTTGTAAGGGAGAGCGAAGTTTATGTATAGGTGTGAAACGGATTTACACATTATAATTTTGGAAATGGCAGACATGAGAAACAATGACAGAAAAGGATAAACCCAATGCAATGAAAATTGTGATAATTTCTTGTTACAAGATGTGGATCAGTGATAAATAATCTTCATAAAAGAGGAACAGTTGTTAGTAGTTTTCTAACCTGTTCTTTTCTTCCATGCAATCTTGACGTTTTAAGAAAGTTCAAAGGTTCCTTCATGTGGAAGAAAAACAATCTTAGGTAATATATAAAACAGTATTATTGATATCAGGACTGGAGTGAAAGTTCTACGGGGTCACTTGGTGTTTCATAGCATCATAAATCAGATTGTTTCTTGTAATTAGTTCAATTGAAACTAGCCAAATGAAAAAAAGAACAAAAATTCAAGTACAGTGGAACCACGGTTCCGGAGAATCTGACGTAAATACGTATTTGTATTGTGATATTCTAAAACGTTTTTACCAGCACAAAATTATCTACTCTACGATGCACTTCTTCTACAAGCGATTAACAGCTCAGCTCTTTCTGCAATAATGAAAGTGGATTGTTGACGGCAGTAATGTAACACAACAATGCTGAGTAAACAGATGACACAACAATTAGTTTCTTAGGTAACATAACAGTGCACGCAGGAGTTCATATAAAAGCTGACCATTGTCGGTCCATATTTACACATTGTTGATATGGATATTACACATCTTCATAACGCTGTTTATGACGAATGACCATTCCGTATAGACGTTTTTATGTCAAAAATAAACATCTACTGACCTGTACTATTGAGGTTATTTCTATAGTGCCATACAGCTGACCATGCACGGCACCAAAAACAATTCTGAAAATCATGATGTAATTTTGCTATTTTTTTCTTTCCTTTTCCATTGAACATGGCATATGATTTGGAATTACAGGAACTCTGATTCAATTTGTACTCTAGTACTTGCCATATACTATTAAAATGATAAAATTCAACAGCTTAAGATAGATGGGGCATGTGGCACACATGGGGGAGGTAAGAAATGCATAAAAAACAATGGTTGTAAAGCCTTAAGGGAAAAGACAACTCAGAAGACCTAGAAGTAGATAGGAAAATACTGAAATGTATCTCAGAGAAATCAGGTGGGAAATTGTCAACTGGATTTAAATGGCTCAGGACAGAGACTGGTAGTGGACTCTTATGAATATGGGAATTAATTTTCTCATTATATAAAAGGTGGGAAATTTCTTGACTAGCTTCTCACAGATTGTGTTGCATCGCTTTGATCTTAATTAAACACTAAACACAGGGGAAGTCCTGAGTACATACTTTTCAGATCACTGGAACCCACTGGTAGTGCACATTGGGACTGTTGGTTGCAATATCAATTCAGATGAGATATGACAGTGTACACAAGGTAGTAGTAACGCTATCAGACATTTGGTACAGGTCCCACCACATTTAAGCTGTAAACCTAAAGGGCCTTTATGCCCAATACAAAGTTTTTAAATACAAGAAAAATTTGTTATGCCCTTAACAGTATAAACATCCTGTCATTTAAACAGCCTTATTGTGTTGAGTATATTTTTTAAATAATTACATCTCTATAAAAAGAGCTACTGCCACGGTGGTCTAGCGGTCAGAACGCTGGCCTTGTAATCCTGGGGTCCCAGGTTCGATTCCCGGCGGTGCCCAAATTTATAACTTGTGTTGGGCAAGGCAGTGGTCTAGCCAACACAGAGTTTTCCTCCGGGGCTTCCCCGGTTTCTCTGTGGCATCCCAACAATTGCTCCGTACTCCATGCACACAGAAGAAGGCAATGGCAAACCACTTCTGTGTCACCTGCCTAAAAAACATATATGAACGGGTCCCAGTCCGAGAAAAGGATGGAAGGATCCTGTTCATAATATGTCGCCAACCTCCTGTAAAGGAGACGGCATAATAAAGAAGATGAAAAGAGCATTTCTCCACATATTTTAATCTGTTAACATTAAATCTTTCAGTTCAACTTAAGTGCTTCTCTTTTAACGAGTTTCAAGTTTTATATTCAGTATGGTCTAAAAAAAACTAAAATTCAGTCCCTTTCTCCCAATTTTAGCACTACACTTCACAGCAATAATAAAGTATAACATGTTTGAATCCAAGATCAGGCTTCTTGCTCAAACAGGTATTAATATTTCTAATACTGACCGATACTTAAAGATACTGACAATCCTTCTCCTCTTCCAAACAATCCAGTACACTAAGTAAATTGTTGTTCCTGGCCCTAGCATTCAAAAGTTTTTTAAAGTGGAATCTGTTAAATATTCAATGACCTTCATGATGTTTTGATAGACTACACAATATATGGAGGAAGAATTCTATTCACACATTAACTCCAGTTCCCAAGTTGTCCTAACATAAAATAATATAAATACTGATCTTCTTTTATAAAAAACAGGGTAAAATTTTCTGTTATAGTCAGCCTACATGTGGTTGAGAGATGATTAATAAATCAAACTATTGTTTCTGAACAAATAAACCATCTTTTCACTAAACCCAAAACGTCTCACCAATCTCATTCAGATAAAAAAAGTCCAGGAAATGCATTAAGAAACACTCAAAATAACAGTTAGTTTTGGACAATGTAATGTGATGACTTTCTTTTGTCATCTCATGCAGTTTTCAGTAGTGACATTATACCCAACAGTGCTACCAGTTTCACTGCAGTATACGAAAAGCAAATCCATTTCAAGCCACTTGGCAGTAACACACAAAGAACATATGAACACGTAAGATTTGAGGTTCTCACGGTGAAGAAGATGGCGGCGATGTTCTTCTTGTTTGTGACACTGCGTAGAATCACAGGCAGACACCAACATTTCAGAGAAACACAATGTCTCCATCTTCAGCCCTGAAGATGGAAACAGTAGGTTTCTATGAAACATTGGTATCAGGGCTGAAGATGGAGACAGTATGTTTCTTCAAAACACTGGTGTCTACCTACAACCCCACAAAGTGACACAACCCGGAAGTACAATACAGACAACATTATGAACAATTCAACTGTTCTGGTAACTATAACTATGCTTACACAATTTATGAATGCATTTACATATAAAAACATGTATTTCCTGTGACACTTAAATTAGAGCAGATTTTGGTTTGCTGCTGATAAACTGTCTGATAAAATAAATAAAATTTGATGATGCATAAAACGTTAATATCTGTACTATAAATATATCACTAGATTACTGATCTCAATTTTGAGAGATTAATTTTGTGTTAGAAAATTGGCGAGCGATTCATGGATATTCTAAACTTTAAAGAGAATAGTGCCATCCTTTGAGGTTTGTGAAATACATGCTTTGTTCACATTTTAAAGTGTAGTTTCTCTGGTATTTATATTTTACAGCTGTTCTACGGTGCATTCACTGATAAAGCTGAATTCAACTGTCACTTCCTAGCTAGAACTGCACTACTCACCAAGAAGAGCTACAAGGTTTTTCTGATATAAGTCAAGTACTGCTCCGCAAAATAACAAAATCAAGTTTTCTATATTATAGCAGTTCCTGCTGGGAGATGACAGTTATGTTCAATTTTATCAGTAAATATGCTGTAATATTGTAATTTCAGTAACATAAGCTTAAGACCTTCATGAAAATAAATTTAACATAGAACCATTCATTTCAAGTAACTCAACCACTCTGTTATGCAGTGTTTAAATATCGCGTAGTCTGTATTAAGTAACAAATTGTTATGCAAATAAAAATAACAGATCTAAAATAATTTTGCTCCCCAGATAGATATAATAAAATATTATTCATTGATAAAAGCACATGCAGACGACTTGTCATTTATACACATCCAACTACAATCCTAATTTGAAACACAAATTACAATGCATTTTCATTCAAACATACAGGCGTGACTGAACAATAGCATAGGAGCTTATAATGCTGAAAGCAAAGATTTTGTACTCACGTGCAACATAAATGTTCTATATAATAGAATGACCGCCACGGTGGCCTTGTAATCCTGGGGTCCCGGGTTCGATTCCCGGTGGTGCCCAAATTTATAACTTGTGTTGGTCAAGGCCTTGGTCCAGGTATCACGGAGTTTTCCTCCGGGGATTCCCCGGTTTCTCTGTGGCATCCCAACAATTACTTCACATTCATCATCATTTACACACAGAAGGCAATGGCAAACCACTTCTGAATCATAATTGCCGAGGAAACGGACCTGTCGTCAGACAGAACACTAATAAATAAAATAAAAATAAAATAATAGAATATAAAACTCATCTACCAGTAGTATTTACAAGCAGCAAAAACTTTGATATACATTGGAAGTCCTGAAAAAAATGTTAACAAATTTTGTGTTAGCATCCACAGAAGTGTCTTAACAGGAAGAAAAAAAAGAAAAAAAAATGCAAGAACAGAACATTACTATTTATTTGTAATAAGAGTATTATATTTAAGATTATTTCGTTCCATCTCTAAATACTTCAAGTGAAAAATAATCAAATCATACTTAAAAGACAGCTGATAAAGTACCAGTAAGATGATTCTGTTACAATTTTGGAGTTACTTATTACTATGAACTTCAATTTCTCCACATAATTTGGTCCTTGTTATCTGTCACAGTTGCACTTCAATAAATATGTGGATAAACAAATTATAATAATGCTACACATTTTTTAGAACACCAGTTCTGTATGCAAATCATACTGGTAACATGTAAAATGAAACTAAAATGGTTCTGCACCTCAGCCCCCATAAAAAAAGAATGAGATCAATACAGACCAACATCAGTAATGCCACTACAGCAGCAGTATTCTCCGTAAACTACGTAACATTCAGGCAACAAATATCAATAGGTCATTAGCTGCTCACAGCTGAAACATTTTATTTGTGGTGGTTACACTAACTGGAGACTCGTGTGAAACAAATATATTGAATGGCAATGTCCACTGCTTTCATGCCATTCATCCTCAAGGATGCCATAAGTAAATGCAAATGGACTCTTGTGTGCTCCACTGCTGGGACTCCTTTGAAGCAACTCATCACCATTCCTACAAAAAGTGGCGCACAATCACTTGTCATCACCAAAGAACTGTCGGATAATGTCTTCCACTGCCTGAGGTGTTTCTTCCTGGTCAATGGGTAGATCTTCTTGCTGAGCATGCAAGTCTCTGTGAAGTTTCCAGTTGTTTAGAATATATGTATATTCAGCTACCTTCTCAACATCTTCCAGTTCATGGTAGACATGAACCAGACCTCGGTAGTCATATTCAAGACCAGAGTAACTCTCTCCAAACATTTTCAAGCCTAAAACAAAACATGAGATTTCAGGTTTTCATAGCACCGAGTATGAAGAATACTGACTTCTCAGATCTTGCAGTGTGTAGTCTGGTTAATGTAGATCAATGTTTCAGAGATACTTGCTGCCTCCATCATCAGGGTGGCAACAAGCGCCTCTAAATTGTCAGTAAACTTTTACCAGGTTACATAGTGCTGCTGTGTCACTCCTGGATGGCTGCAAAAGCAGTCTGCTCAACTTCAAGACACAAAATCCAAGAAACAAAGAAACATGCCCTTACAGATTTTCCTTTTTGCACTAATCAGAGCCATTTAATAACAAGGAAAACAGATCATCACTAACATACTGCAATAAAAAGCTACAACAAGGAAATAATCTGTGCTGTCCTCAACGCAACCAATCCCCTAGTTTTTACTGACCTTCACACTTACATGTCCAGAATAATGTGGATGACGTGAACATTAGCATTTTCATCTCAGCTATGGTGTTATGGTTCAATTCACCATTCATACACCAATCACTGAAATACTATTATATTAGCTTACCAGCTATGTTAGGAGGATTCAGACAATTGCAAACAGTTATAATCGGTACTTTCCGTCAATATGCCAGTCACAGTAGCCACGTGGTCCAACACATGGGCCTTGTTCACTTGGATACTAGGACTGTGGGTTCGAATCCCACTCAAAGCATGGATGTTTGTTTGTCTGCATCTTTTTGAGCTGTGCCGTCCTGTGTACAGGTAGAGGCCTTGCAACGGCAATCACTTGTCTGAGAAGTCCTACCAAATGTATAAATAGACCAAATAACCTCCAAAAAGAGGTGGCCAAGACCCACCCTCGGCTGTAGAGCCAGAGATGAGATGATGATGTTCCATCAATACAGGAAGATTACTCAGCACAAGAAACTTAGATTATAACAATATGATGTATCATCTGTTGACATACATTTTAGCAGACAGTGCTATACTCACTGATGGCTATAGATCGAAGGTACAGCTGCTCTGCTTTCTTATATTTCTTCATGTGATAGTTGTATAGGCTGGCAAGATGACCAATAGACAACCCTACTTCATAATCATCTGCCCCCAGCAACTCTTCTTTTATGGCAATTGCTTTCAAGTGCATTGTTTCTGCTTCCTGGCAAATAAAAAATTGTGAAAATATTTAAACTATTAGATTTATCACAGATTTTCTAACATGACTAAAGTTGGTATTTATATTAAATTTTGAAAGATTTTCATACTGTTCTGTAAGAAACAATATAAGAACTTCTTTCTTTGTTTGATATGTTACATCTAACAGGGTAAGATTTCAGATTCTCAAGGCAAATGAGTATGAAAACAGCTCTCTTCTGGAATGTTACACTATGTAGTCTGGTACATAATGCTTCAGAGAAGCTTACTGCCTCCATAATTAGAGTGATATGTATTCCACGTGTGGGAAGGTCGTGATAGATATACAGAGGCCAGATGGACATGGCAGAGCCCTGGCTGGACCAATACAAGACTCTGTTCAGGCGATCATGAAAGTCATTCAGCTTACCCGGTCCAAGCTGCCATATGATTAATTTGTCTTTCATGTAACAAAACCAGCAGAGGGGCTTGTTGGGCACATACAGTCCTTGTCAGAACAGACTCAGCCAGTTCCTTCTCTCCCCCGCTTCCTTCCAACTCTTTAATTCCATTTATTTCATATCTGCCATCTGTTATCTTTCATCTCACTGAGTTTTTCAAGTTACTCCCTGTTGCCCTTATAAGAGCTATTTATTAGGATTTTATTATTCTGTTCTCAATATTTTATTTTACTCATTCTACATTTTTATTTGCTTCTCTTATTTTATTTCCTTCATATTAATTTCATTCAGCTTCATTATACTTGTTGTATTTCCTGTCTACTGCCATGAATCTCACTCTGTCCTCCCTACAGCCTGGCTCATGTCTCCTCGTCTCTCACTGGTTTCCTACTATGCTCATCCTCACTCATTGGTCTGGCCAGGTTTCTGTGTTATCAAATAAGCTCCTATATATATCCAACTTTTCAACATATGACTTACTCATCACCCTAATAATGGAGGCAATAAGCTCCTCTAAAATCTCAGAGGAGGCTACGGACTGCATAGCTCAACATCCAAGAAAACAACCATCTTAAATATGGAAGGCGATTTACTGTACAGGTGACTCACAGCACTTTCACTAAATATTAATCAAGTGCAGCGGAATTAATTTTATGAAGTAATTGTATTAGTTTTCAACCCCACTTATTTTAGAATCTCATGCCTCACCACTTACAAACTTGGGAATTTATAATAATAAATATATAAGACAGCCATACTTGAAACTTCTTCATACTCTGATACAGGCGTCCCAAGTTGCCAAAATGTTTCGCTGTCTGAACATTATTCTCTCCAAAGGCTGCCATCGCTAACTTTAAGGAAGACAAGTGTAGATTTTCAGCCTCTGCTAAAAGAGAATGTGTTCCTGGGAATTCAATAAAGAAAATACACTAATCAGAATAAAAGGTAAAGATAAATAAGTCTGTAAAATAAGGTCCTGTATAGTAAATACACTGTTTCAAATAGTGCTAACATTAGCTAATCTTGTTTCCACTCTTGGGTGACAACACAATGCTATAGTGCAGTGGCATTCAACCTTTTTTGTTCGCGTCCCCCCAGATACAATTTTTCTTCAACTTTGTACCCCCAAAGTTGTTGGTGTATAATTCAAGTTATACATAGTATATAATCTACATCTAAAATAAATTACATTACTGATTATTCAGTGTTTATCATAAAATAATATTTTTTTAAATTTCACATACCCTAGGTTGAATACCACTGCTATAGTGGGTTGGTTTACAAAATTCTGACCCTGAAAAGGGAACATGTTCTATCTAGTTATCTACTGGAAGTATCCATAATGTTCACTACACTCTACATTGCAGCAGAGCAGCACAGTACCCTATCCTCATACTTCTTTATAATGAATGAGACTTCAGTGAAATGAAAAGGGAGATTTGGTTATTAATAAATTCATCCACTATGAATGATATACTTCAGAAGAAAGCAGTGGATTGGCAATATTATGCAAAAAAGAAAAACACGAAGTTCTGCGTCCATGAAAATGAATAAGAATTAATGTATTATTATGTGTAGGGCAGCACAGAAATTAATAATCCCGTGAGAAAATTTCTTCTCCCCCGAGACTCGAACCAGCGCGCATTCCGTATCGCCGGTCCAATGCATGATGCCTCAGACCGCGCGGCTACGGCGCGGGACCCCCTCCAATCTTAATATTTAATAAATGTATAATGCAGATTTTCTTTCTACAAAAATACTTTTATGAACCATGCCGGCAGATCTTGGGTGAAAGTGGCTAGTAGGTCAAAGGTGTATTCATGAAACCTTGGTTCCATATACCTAAAACCAAATCACTCACAGGCGACTAATTTATAGGATCATAAACAATGTTGTAGCGAGTGCAGAGAAGTTATTTGGTGCTGAATAAAATAAGAGTGTGATTACATGCCACATGTAAGCATTTAGTCACAGCTGCTGTGTGGGGAAGTATGGAATGAATACTGTTGGCTGTAATGGGATCTGCATTAAGGCTTAGGAGGGAGCTGAAATGAAGGGTGACACACTGAAAGTAAAACTTTATTCCTTCACACCTCCTGCACAACCAATCATTTCCCTTTCAATAAATACCTTTTGTTGGCAGACTTAACATTATCCACAAGTGGTAGAAGAATTAAACAACCCAAAATGAGAACTGATATTATACCTGAATTGTTGGGCATTGTGTCTAGAGCTATTTCTTCCAGAATTAGAGCTTTCACTCTTTTTACTGACGCTAGCATAAGATGTCCTTCTGGCAACAGTTTTTCCATTATGATCGTGGCTTTCTCTGCATGATCACTGTGAAAACAATTGGTTGATATAATGAAAAGATAACAACAATGATAGTATTCTATTCTTGTTTTATACACATTCAAGTGGTACATTTTAATTTTAACACATTTAATAAACCATTACCCCCTCTTCAATATGTATAATTCATTTCTGTAAAATGAAAACATACCAAGCTGTGAAATGTTCCCAATCTTACCCACCACCTTTCCTACAAAGGATCACTGGGTTCAATTCTTGGCCTGGAGACTAGCTACCCTGGCTGAGGTTATTCACAGTTTTCCTCAGTTCCTCCATAATACCTTAAATTAGGCCATTACCACTTCCTTCCACATCCTTTATGATTAATTATTCACTGTCATCCTCTCATTCAACGCTACGGTCTGAGATACTGAAAAGGTGTCATTAAATAAACTATAAACAAATAAATATTGTCACATTTAAAGAGTCTAATAAATTAAATACTGAAACACATTAACAAAATCAAAGAACAAAATGATACCTTCAGGCCATATCAGCAAATCAAGGCTACAATTTAGAGACGGGTTCTCCAAATATCAACAGGCAACACAAATCAGATGAATAGAAAAGTTTATTCTACTGGAGTTTACATATTTCCCATACACATTAGTTAATTTGTATACCTCAATGACATTGTTCATTTATGCAGATACTGTTCTGCTGTTGCAAAGCTAACTGCAGCCAGAAATTATTTTTCTTCATATTTCACTAAATATTCATCACACTGAAACATGTTTCAAGTAAATGTAATTTTTATATGCTAAGCTGTTAAAAAACAAGTTAAATTAGAGCTTCATATAAGATAGATGCTACAGTGGACTGAATAAAACCAACCTTTAGTATAAACATCTCAATACAAAATTCCATAAGAATGTGTTCAGTATTTAGAACGGATGGACATTATTTCCCTGTTATGATTCAATTTCACGCATTGCACTTATGCCTTCATTACATGAATATCATATCACAGTACAATGTAATTATTTCCACTTTAACAATACAAAAAGATAGGTACATTAACAAAGACGACAACTGCATGAATACTTACCGAGCTTTAAGAAACCTTCCAGAACTATATTCATGTACATAGAGTGCATAGGCCAGATCTTCGTGAGCTACAGCAACATGCAGATTGAACTTCCCAAATATTGCTTTACGAATATCCAAAGCAGTCTATAAGAAGACAGTCCAAGGTTACCATATAATTTACAGCTTTAAACATTTTACAAATATGTGTAAAAAGACACTTTTAAATGTAAGAAGATTATGCAATAAATCAAAAACATCTATCACAAATTAAAACTGTTCACTTCAAAATCAGAACCAGAAATCACTGCACAACTATATGAAGTAAACTGATCCTTTTTGAAAATTCAACTGAATGTGATTTAAAATTTTTCTTGTATTTTTGTATATGGAGGAAAAATAAAGACAAAAGCCCAGAAAATCCTGGGAAGTGGCTATCCAAACACACCGATAGATAAAGGAACACCACAGAATGAGCCACAATCAGTGCTAAAGATCAGAAAAGTTGGATATTGCTTTCTACCACCTCTACATTAGGCACAAGAGAAATGACCAAGAAAGTTGAGTTTTGAAAATAAAGATCCAACATCAAAAAAAATGTCACCCACTACTGTTGGCAATGGCAAAACTGGAACACCAACTTAGAACTGATCAAAAGGCACAGCTACCATGAAGCTTACTAATAAATCGTAGATGTACAAATAGATTTTTCTTAAAGATGGTAGTAATTAGTTATTGTATAAACTTAATAGGGAAATGGGATACATGTGCATATAAGTTCTGAATAGGACTCACGAAGCAAACTTTCCTGCTGCACAGACTTCCAGACCTATGCAAATTTAAAATTCACAATAAAATACAATTTAGCTCAAGGGCCAACATGCTGGACTTGTCCACAGATGGCTATACAATCAAATCCTGACTAAGTAAGAATATTTTTATTGCATCACTTCCCTGAAACATCAGTCAGTTTCTATAAGACTGCACAGCACAACATTCCAGAAGATAGCCATCTTAAGGTAGCTGCTTTTCAATGTTAAATTCATAAGCAAACCAGTACATGATATGGAACTTACCTCATAGATACCAACACACTGTCTAATGGAATCAAAGTTGAGCAGAAAGAAACCAAAATCCAAGAGTGAGTCAGAGTATTTTGGGTGATCCTTGTCAAAGAACTCTTTTGTTAAACACACAGCTTGTCTGGCTAAGAGTCCTGCCCTCTTAAACTCTCGTTTCATCACACATGATTTGGCCACTTGTCGTAAAACATCTATAGTAACACGAGTCGGAAGACCTGGTTTCACTTGTTTTAATGCTTCTATACTCCACATGTAAGCCTGTTAAAATGTAAAACAAAAACACAGGATCAAATATGATGTATTTTAGCACAAGTACTTACAATTTTTAGTTTGCTTTCACATAAAATTCCATATATCAGTCTATTCTTTATTAAAATGTGTCATACTTCTTTGAAAATTCAAATCTTAATTTTTCATTGTAAAATTAAGATATAAAGAAATCATGTAACAAAACACAGTAATATTCATGATATAAATTTGTGTGTGTGTGTGTGTGCATAAAAGTTCATTTAAGCTTTTGAATAAAGTTTCCATTAAAATGAACCAAAATCACTGACTTACGACAAAATTTAGTGCAGGTCTAACATATTTCATCATACAGGTAAACCCTGCTCTTATGAGTAGTTACATTCATGGAGAGAGTTCAGAAAGTGAAATTCTGTAAAGTAAGTCACTATTTCCCATAACTGCAACTGGGAAAAAAGAACTTTTCCTCTTATCAGCCATCACTAATAGGGCCAGAAAAAGAAAATCTTTAAAAAGATTCACACCAAAGCAGATTGCAAGATGAACTGACTCATGAATTTCCCCTGGTTTCAATTACTGAATGCATAATGTCGCAACCTTTCATTTGCATTTTTGTTGGCATATTTTATTTTGCTCAGAAGATTCAGGATAAGCAAGCATTCATATCATAAGCAAAATGGAGGATTTGCGCTTCGTTATAGAAGTTTGTATGAGTGAAATTTTGTAATGCAAATATTTGTAAAGCAAGAACTGACTGTAATCAGTTCCATAGTCTGGGCACTATTACTTGCAGAAAGACAACATAAAACTCACTGGTCCTTTTCTAGCACTTTTTGAAAAAAATTAAAGCTGGCCATTAACATAACATACCTCATCATATTCACTCCTACTGAAGTGTAAAACAGAAAATTCAGCAAAAAGTCCAGCAAGATTTGTTTGTTCATTTGCTGCATGCAGCCTATCCACAACTTCCAATGCAAGATGATATGTTATTTCTGCCTCATCAAAGTGACAGAAGGCAGTTTGACTGTGAAGAAGCCTACAAATAAGATAATACACATGTTTTTGTACAATCTGCCTCTAGCATAGCAGAATTCAAACAAAAATTTATCATAGCTGCATTTAAATATTAACTCTAGAAATATTTAAATATTGACTCTAGAATACACAACAATATCATAATAAAATGTTAGAGGTAAATGAGACAAAACTGAAATAACTGGAAACGACAGTGACAAACTAGAATGGTTGTTAAGTTCAGAAAATGCTTACTACTATTCACTTTTTCATATCTACTCTGTAAAACCCTAAAGGCTGAATTGGACTCAACTCAGCCTCTCAGTCCAAGAAATAAATACAAACTGAGAGTACTTGAGAATAAAATACAAAGAAAAATATATTCAACCCAACTTAAATGAAGAAACAAAGAAATGGGAAAAATTATATAATGAGGAGCTTCAATACTTAAACCTTTGCGGTCCCATTTAAATATCACTATGGCTCTTTGCCGATCTATTTAAATAAAACTAAGCTATGAAAATTCAAGTACTATTATGAACTGGTTTTATTTTCTTTTATAACTTGCATAAAATGGGAGAAACTTTGCTAATAGACTAACAAAAACAGTAAATAATAAACTGCACTTTCTACTGTAACCGATACATACTTGTGGCAACATTCAAGTAATTTAAGCCAATATTTGACCAATGGTTCTGTGCGTTGGCATAAATCTTGACACGCTAAGAGAACCTTTTCACTTTCAGCAAACCATCCTGCATCACTGAGGAAGCCACCTGCAAAACGTACATAGTGAATGTTTGTTAGTATTTTATATACATGAGAATTTGTTTAATACATAGCATACTTAATGATACTTTCTCAACTGCATAAATAAAATAGCATCAAATGCAAAAGTGAACAAATCCATTAAAATGTTAGTAACCAGCTAAAATTTTTAGGACAAAGAATAGTGGTTACCAAAATTTGCTATACTAAACAGCATATTCCAAGCACATACATTCTCATCTTAGGGCTGAATACATGATTGTCACATAAATTGTGGAAGAATTCACACAAGTACATCAACTCCACTGAGCAGGGTCATTCTCAGGATGATGGCAGTTCCTCAGCTATTAAATAAATACCTTGTCCTTTATGGAACACAAAAGTTAATTTCTCCTTTCAGAGGAGTCAGATGAATCATGCCAATCACCCAACACCAAGGCTCTATGTAACATGCTAGTTTCTTTTACATTGAGGAGTTAACAACCCAACATCCAAGCCAAAGAACAAACCTTGTTGACTATCCACAACTGCTTACTTAATATATTTACAGATATCTACAATATGTGAAAGTCATTGGTTCATCCAGAAACTGAGGACCACCACATTGTAGTGATACAGGACTAGCTACTAGCCACTTACCCAATGTTACCTCTTCATAATCTGACAGCATAAATATGTTTCTGGTCACTTGCTAATTCAAACACAACATTTCTGAAGCCCTGCTCATTGTATCACATGCATGTTAAGAACAAGCTCTTACCAAGTCTCAGTCCAAGATCAATTGTAGCATCCCTTGATACTGGATATGAATGACACATACTGCACCTCCTTCCATAGGCAGAGATAAGATCCTTAGCTACACGTGTACCATGATCCATTAGGGCCTGAGGGTAAAACATAAAATATTATACATTAAAAGAGCACCATAATTTAAAGATTCCTGACACCACCTGCATGTGGCACAGCAAGCCCCAGTTAAGGTGGAAGAAGTTGTGTTGTTTTCAGATCTTCATCCAAACATCAAAGCTTGTAGTCACAACATCAAAAGATCAGGAATAAATTATGCAGATATTTTAACAGTGCTGGTTTAGGTTCCTGGCAAGCTAATGTTCATACAAAACAATGATACAGATATAAAGTTTAAGCACTTAAAAAAATAAATTTACTACACATGTAATACTTTTATAATGTTTGATTTAATAATAAATTTGTTATTACCGAGTTCTGTGAAATCCAGTCTTCTTTTTGTGAATCAGAAATTTCAATGGCTGACCTTTCCTTAATTAGAATTTCTTTGCCTTCCAGAAATTCCATAAGTCTTCAAAATACCATGTCAGTACAAAAATATCATCAGGACTGTTTTCAGACTTAGCATAACCCTTCATTTTCAATACTCTCCAGTAATTAAAGCAAAGAGTGTTTATTTCTACTTACCTCATCCAGATAAGCTGCTAGCTAAATTTCCTCCAGTTTACTAATTTATCATACCACCACTTTTCAAAACTGTTTTTATATTCTTTACTTTTCTGATGCCAGAGCGCTCATAAATTTTATGAATTTCAATAAAATCACCTAAAAATTCATGTCTAGATGCCATGGTGGTTTCCTCAAGACCGAGCAAGTTAGCACAATCATGCCTACATACAGTTATCATAACTGTAAAAAATGCCAGACAAGTTTAGTTCTTTTTCAGTCATCTGCACAGTATCCATTCGTTACCCAAAATGATGGCACAGTGATTTCACATTAATGTTGCTTAATGTGTAGGCCCCTTAATGAAATATTTTAGTCATTAAAATGCTCATAAGCTCTTCAACTCTAAACTGCTTGAACATTTGCATTTACTAAAAAAGATAAAATTGTTTGACAAACCTATGCACTTTAATTTTCTGTCAAACTTACCTGAAAACTTCTTAGCAGAAACATGCGTCTATTTGTAATTTTCAAGATTCGACCAAAGACATCCAGATCACTGAACTCCACTCCAAGCAGACAGAGCCCCTTTTCTTTATACAGCTACAAACAAAATTAAAACATAATTTATTACAAGGTTCGATATTTTTCTCGGCCTCATTAAAAGGTTTCAAATACATTATACATGCTATATATATAACATACTGAAATTATTATAAGTAACTGCACATACAAAGGCAAAGAAACAACATATTTATGATTTTATAAGTTTCGTCAAATTTCATAAAGCTCGTGCTGTCGCAAACACTAATTAGGGATACCAAAAATCGTACCTTGTAATATAAGTCAAATAATACGTTGTCGGGCAATATACGAAGTTCGTGTTTAAAACAATGATAGTTGTCAATAACTGCCGCAACTCCTAAATTGTACAAAGAAACTGGATCTCTCATTTCCTCCATAGCCATTTTGACTACTACTAAACAGCTGATTGGAAGTTACGGCATTCAACTGTGCACCCACCCGTCTATGCTCTTTGCTGCCTACTAAACATCTTTTTGCATATGATAACCAAGTTGATATCGCCAGAAACAGCGATAGTCAAATACCAGAATATCACTTTTGTTTTCCGAAACATTACATAACAGCAAATACATGTTAATTATGGAGTATACTTACAACGCATTTTGTTTATTGCCATATGTATAATATATATAAAGTTTTCACAGCATAATCTTTAGTCAATAACGTAAAACAACACCGTAAAGAAGAGGGCTTCTATTCTCATTATGAACTATTTCTAGCATTATTGGTGTTAGATTGTCAGACCATACAAATTTGTAAACCAGTATTTATATTATTCCTAGTCTTCTCTCAACTCAGCACACAGGTTGTTTTTCTGTGACGTGTAGTCATTTCTTGTACGTTCTTGTCCTTTACCTGAAAGTGCACATCATTTTCTTTTCTGCTTAAATTATTCTCAGTCGGTGGTAGCAATTATGTAGGAACAAATATGACAAAAATAAAACCACTGGCCAACGAAAGTATTTAGAATCTTCCAATTCGGTCTATATCCTTTGTACCCCATAAAGTCAAAGCGGTATGCTTTCACTACATCATTATTCACATTTCTAAGTGTTCTTCATGTTCTGGTGTATGCCAATTCCTTATGCGCCCGTCCATTCTCTGTTTCGTTTTTCCTGGGAGGCTGGCAACTGAGGGGCATAGTCGCGCAACAATGGGAACCTACTACTACTGTTATTCCACGGCCTTTCCATCGTCAAATTTGACACCCTTTTGTCCACCGCCCATGCTACTTGCTCCATTGGTGCCTGGATCCCTGTGGTTATTGTTCCATGGCCCACCTCTCCTCTGCCTTGACACCCCCTGCAATTCTAACCAATCTGTTTACAACAAAAGTGCAAAATGACCTGTTAAGTAGCGTGATGAACAAGTGGAATGTCAGTATACTTTACTAGCTTTCACAGAATTATCACGGTGTCAAGTATGAAGCAGTCTTCAAGTAATTCACCATTCAATAAAATAAATCTGGATAGAAGGGGGTCACAACTTACAATGGCTAGTGAGTGGGCAACTTGATTTAAACTATCAAGTCATCCATCCAAATGACAGACCATCACTGAGAAACTTGACAGATTGACAAATGACAAATTGTATACACTTTAATCTTAAGTAAAATGTAAAATAGTCAAATACTAGACAGCACAGGATCAAATAATTACAAAAGTGAATACCTAATGAAAAGTAAATACTACAGATGATGTTAAAGAAATTATGGAATCCCAGGGCTGTGTAATTACTGGCAAAGTAGACGTGTGGAAAGTGGGACTCAGGATACATTGACAGCAATAGGAAATTAGGTGATTTGGATTGTGAAATAAGAAAGCAAAACAATAACTGAGACTGAAGTGTATGCAAGGTCAAAGACCACTACACTACTAGAAACTTCACTTCATCAATGGCCAGTTTTCAAAAACCCACAATTTACGTTCAGCTCACGCAGAAAAACAATTTCCAAAACTACATAAAATGATTATGGAGAATATCATCACACTATTACATCAGATAATCCATGTTTAAAATAATACACCATTCAGCTAATAAGATAGATGGGAGCTTACTAATATAACTCATTTTATGACAAGACAATTGTATCCGAATATATTTATATATCTACATAATACAGCTTGTCCTCAAATATTTACACACAAAAACTAGTATCTTTATACTGCAACATATGTGGAACACACACAGTTTTTTGACAAAGGTGATAATATTTGAACTGTCATGATCCCTACAGTTGAATACAAAATTCTAAACAATTATACTGCTTCCATCCACACTTAAAGTTTTAGATCCTGTATTCACACGAAATGCAAGTTATGTTCTGTCAATAACTAAACAAATATACACTGAAACAAGACATTACTGGGTATCAGCAGTTCTCAGCCTCATAAAAGCTGAACTACAACTCCTGGCCTGTCTGATATACTTCTAGACAACATATTCTTCCTGTTTTAGTACATGATGAATCAAGATTATCTTAATTTTAATACCCACAACATACCCCTTCAGAGTCAACATTTTCACTGTACAAAGCCTGGGTATAGCAGCATATTAATCTTCACTTGATTATTAACCAAAGATTTTCCAAACTCACAGATTAATTAGCATCTAATGATGGGATTATTATGAAATGCCTATATTAAGGAATTACTCCAGCAATGGCCTGAAGAGTGAAGAAAACCAAGAAACACCTCAAACAAGATAACCAATCTCTGTGCCATGATATTAAGAATAACAGTAGCAAAAGTTAACAGCTTAATCCACAAAATGATAGTAGTAAATCATACAGAATAAATAAATAACTGTGCAACAGTGTAAAAATAAAGATGGCTGTCTTCTGGGTTGTTGTGCTGTGTAGTCTGGTAGAAGTTTGCTGCCTCCATCATCAGGGTGATGATGATGGAGGCAGCAAGGACCTCAGAAACGCCGGTAAACTTCTACCACACTATATGGCACAATAACTCACAAGACAGCCATCTTTAGACTCTGCTGTGTAAATCTCAAATCCTACTTTGTGTAAAAATGTATTACAAAGGCAGACCAGACTACAATTATTTGAATTAATTTCCAGGAGAGCCTGGAGCTGCATAAATGTGGTAATTTCCATTACTGGATTGATTTAATGAAATTTACATTAAAATGTATGAAATAAACTTAAACATAATACAGCAAGTGGTGAAATATCTGCAGAATCCCAACAAAGAAACAGCTGGAAGCACAATATTAGAGAATCACAACTTTTGACATAGGGCCTGCTGACAGATTCCAAACATATGTATTATTAGGGAAGATTCAGAATCAAAGTTATCTGAACCATCAAACTCTCTTTTCAGACATGCAAACAATATTATCATAAATAATAAAGTGTGTAAAATAATGGTAAACAGAAACCAATTTATTTTAGACCATTATATAAGGGGAAAAAAAGCTATTATGCCTGTACAATATTATGCAGTCAGTTCTTAATAAAATTACATACAGCATGTTTCTGTTTGTTGATAAAAACCAACACAGTGGGACACAGTACATGATACAAAGCAACAATTTGTATAATATATAATTCGTAAACACATACCAGCAGTTTATGTCACATTCATTACTTTCTAAGATGACATTTTGTATCAGAAATTTAACTGACCATTATCATTTTTAGAAATTAAACTTAAAATTATAACATAAAGAAAAGGGTGTGGCCAGACTATATTCAGACCAATAATTGTACTGTAATACAAACTGAATAAACCAAATAAAATGTAGTACATAATAAAGAACTATAGAATATAGACAGAATTCTCCTTTAACTACTGCTGTCTTATTCACATTTTAGCTTTACCATCCTTCTTCTTATTAAATCTCCAAAATTCAAAGAAACATATGAATTACAGAAACTAACAGTTGTGACTTCTCAGTATTCTAAAATAAATACTAGATAATAACTGCTCAAATGTCTGCTCAGTCTTAAAAATATAACCTGTGCTATAGAGGACTGAAAAGGATATTACTATTTCAAACTGTTACAGTGGATGTCACTTTCAAGATTATAAACATGTTTTCTGAAAATAACAGAAAGAAAATAGGGTCCAAAAAGTTTGTCTGTGGGCTAACATTTCTTCAATTAAGAAACCTGTAACCAAATTATTATTTACATCAACAAAGCAGGTACAGTTACATAAAATATAGGAGCAAATTAAAATTGTCTTCACTTTGTTATTCTATAGTGACAGCTGGAAATATCAATTATCTTCCTGAGGAACTGTCACTTCTAATTTGCAAGAAACTCAGTTCATTTGTTTTTCTTAATCAGTGACCTTCCATGATAGAATTTTTGTCAACACTACATACAAAATTAAATGACATATGTAATGCTTCAATACAGGTAATTTTGCATACAATGCAGTTTAGCAATTTGTGTACTGGGGAGACTGTTACTACAGTTCCTGAAAGCTGGAACACTCCCCCTCACTCCGAAGTGTTAGTCTTTCAAAAGCACTTTGGGGAAACAGACAACTTTCAATTGGTACCAATACCAAGAGATACTCTGGTACTATATCAGCTATAAACTAGCTTACCTGTAATAAACCATTACCACCCACACAGTTCATCACAACCATGTTTAAGTATTGCAGACTTTAGCCAAATAAAGTACTACACCTACCATATTCAGTTCTGCACACTACTTTCAAACCAATCTGAAAGTCTGGGAGGAAAACAGACATCAAGAGTAACTAACCCCCTTATTTTAGGCTCACAATTTTGTCACTATCCTCTACTCAACAAACAACTCTGTCTTTTCCATAACCACAAATGAAAGTTCTAGATCTACTTCATTTATACAACATATAATAAAACAGCACTGTAATTGGAATGGCTAGTATATGCAGCAAAGTTTGAGACTCTAGATGTTGAAAGTAGTACTGACACCTGCATGTTTTAAAATGAAGTTTGATGAAAAAGCACATTTTCAAAACTGTAAGTAAATAGACTTATCTTCTAAGTATTCAGATTATTTACAAGAATTACCAGCTAACTTGCATAAATGCATGCACGCACACACACACATGCAAAGGACACATGTACATGCTGTAATTTAAAGCAATATAATATTATCATTAGTTTTCTGTATCTAAAGAGAGAAAACATTGAATAAAATAATTTATTTCATCAATAAGTAGAAAAACCCAACATATGACAAGTATTCCTGTTCTGTTTATAATGCAACAACATGTTCAGTTCTCATCATAAAGAGGTGTAGCATCTCCACTGAGTGAACTTTCAACCATGGAATGGGGACTTGTGTTGGTCCGTGGTGTAGACCTCATACTGTCTCGGCCAGAACCAACACTACGGGGTGACTTGTTGCTGCTTGACAGACCATATGGTAATCTGCCACTCATAGGCAGACGGTTTCCCATTCCATATGTGCTCAAGCCACTAAAACTTCTAGGAGTTCCACGACCAGACTCGTCATATCT